AAGTTCACACTTTGAAAATGCCAGAATGAGAAAAATGAAAATTTCACATAAAACTGCTTAAATTCAATAATAAATGATAACTCATTTGAGCTGGCTTTCTTATTTGAACTGCATGCCAATCCTACAAATCATACTTGTAAGTTGAAAATAATAATAAGTAACACAGTTTTCTTTTCATAATGTTTGTAGTAGCAGTGCAAAAAGATTGTTGTCAATTTTGATGTAACATTACATAATAAATTACAGAATAATTATCACCAATTTTTGATCATTGACTATAAATAGCATGGACATGTAGAAAATTTGATTACCATTTAGCTTCATGTCCATGGGAGCTTCGAGTCCCACAATGAATATGCCAACATGATAAAAATGAATATTTCACTAAAATGTATAACTTCCAGAAAAAGAAGCCAATTAGACTGCTTTTCCAACTCAGGCTGCATTTTTGTCCTTTGTTTCTTTTTTGAAAGTTTGACAATCATAAGTAACATGGTTTTCCCATAATGGTCATCATGGCAGCAGCACCCAAAATTGTGTTTTCTTCTATTTTAATGCAATATTACATAATGCTTAAAAGCATAATGACCATCAGTTTTTAATAATAAATACGTATCGTGGATTTTCAGAAAATGAGATTAGCATTGTTTACATAACAATGGTCACATAAACAAAATGTTTAAACTTTATAACCTGATGTATTTTTTCTGAAATCTGTTTTCTTGTCCCAAAGCCTTTTCCACATATTCATCAAATGGGCAAGGAAAAGATAAAAGTGTGTCAAGGTCGTAGACAAAACTGGATGAAGTGTATTTCTGTACTAATATCACATGGTAGTCCTGCAAGAAAAAGTGTTTCAGTTAATATGTTAAAACAATAATGTTCCTTACTCAATATTTCCATCATTGGGCTTTCAGTTAAAATGAATTCAAGTAAAACTAGATGGTGTCGATGGGTAGCCATCGCATATCCCTGCACTTCCCCATATTATCAAGAGCAGCTCACCCCTAGGGACCACTTACCACACACGCACGTACACACGCACACACATATACACACATCACTGCTTCATCCAAGGTATTTAAAAATATAAATGTAAAAATATCTATAATGTTAAAAAATTTAGAGTCAACCAACCCCCAGGGACAGCCCAACCCCCTGTTGCACTAAAATTCAAAAGTGCACATGCACATCTCTGATGATGGGAAAACTAATCACCAAAGTTTCAACTTCCTACCTGCAAAGGTCTAGGAGAAAATAGCAGAAACTACAATGTGAAAAAAATTCAGAATCAACCAACCCCCGGGCACAGCCCAACCCCCCGTTGCACTAAAATTCCAAAGTGTATATGCATATCCCTGATAATGGATCTTCCAATTCCCATAGTTTCAATTTCCTATCTCTAAAGGTATAGGAGGAGATAGCAGAAATTACGATGTCATAAGTATTTAAAATCAATCACCCCCAAGGACAGCCCAATCCCCTGTGACACTAAAATTCAAAAGTGCCCATGCACATCCCTAATGATGGGTCAACTATTCACCAAAGTTTTAGCTTCTTAACTCTAATGGTCTAGGAGATGTCATAAGAATTTAGAATCAACCACCCCCTGGGGACAGCCCAACACCCTGTGGCACTAATATTCCCATGCACATCCCTGAAGATGGGTCTACCAATTCCATAAGTTTCAACTTCCTAACTCTAATGGTCTAGGGCAGATAGCAGAAATTACAATGTGAAAAAAATTTAGAATCAACCCCCCCCCAAGGTAGAGCCCAACCCCCTGTGGCACAAAAATTCCAAAGTGCCCATGCACATCCCTGATGATGGGTATACCAATTCCCAAAGTTTCAGTTTCCTAACTTTAATAGTCTAGGAGGAGATGGCAGAAATTACAATGTGAAAAGAATTTAGGATCAACCACCCCCTGGGGACAGCCCAACCCCCTGTTGCACTAAAATTCTTAAGTGCCCATGCACCTCCCTGACGATGGGCATACAAATCACTAAAGTTTCAACTTCCTAATTCGAATTGTCTAGGGCAGATAGCAGAAATTAAAATGTGAAAAGAATTAAGAATCAACCCCCCCCACCCCCCCCCCCCCACCCCCCCCCCCCAGGAAGTGCAACAGAGTAGGGAGTGTTTTATTTTAAGTTTTATCTAAAGTTAAAAAAGTACCGCTTGGTGTGGAAAGGGACTAATTATATATGTCAGAAGGTTTAAAGGCATTGATGACAGACAAGAATGTTAACATAGTCAAACGTAAATAGCCAAATTATTTTTTGAAGTACTGTGCCAATAATCGACAGTAATGAAAGTCGTGGTAAATAAATGCAATACCGCGCATATATCTTCCACACCTTTAGATATTTATTAAATTAATTAGATATTTATTAAAACTTTATTGTAGAGTATAATTTCTTCTTAATAAATATAATACAAATATAAATTTTAAAAATGAATGCTGCATGTTACGAACCGTCCATATTATACATTGTACGTGTTGAAGTCATTTATGAATACACATTAGTTTTGTTATACTGTTACAGTTGTTTGTTATTCAGTACGTGAATATTGGTTTTAACTGGTTTCATTAAAATTATTACAAAATTATGGAGATTTTATTCTAGTATCCATCGTGTTTGTGCCTTTATAAAATAATGACATAACAGATTAAATGTCTTTTTCATAATTTATTTTCTTAATTTTTCATGTTAACCAAAGTGTTCGGAANCTCATGCACATCCCTGATGATGGGCGTACCAATTCCCAAAGTTTCAGTTCCCTATCTGTAATGGTCTAAGAGGAGTGGAAATTACAATGTTATAAGAATTTAGAATCAACCACCCCCTGGGGACAGCCCGACCCCCTGTGGCACTAATATTCCAAAGTGCCCATACACATCCCTGAAGATGGGTCTACCAATTCCGAAAGTTTCAACTTCCTACCTGCAATGGTCTAGGAGCAGATAGCAGAAATTACAATGCCATAAGAATTTAGAATCAACCACCTCCCAGGGTACAACCCGACCCTCTGTTGTACTAAAATTCCAATGTGCCCATGCACATCCCTGAAGATGGGTCTACCAATTCCCAAAGGTTCAACTTCCTACTTGCAATAGTCTAGGAGGAGATAGCGGAAATTACTAACACACAGACGCACGGACACCCGGACGGGCGGGATAACGATTCCCGACTTTTGTCCCAAAAGTGCAGGATTGATTAGAATGACAAGCCTTCCAATCAAACATGAAGTACACTGGGTTGATGATTCAGCCCGGGAGCCACCGGCTCATATAACGGTTATTTTGGAGAACATTAGATTTGGCCTCGTTTTCAAAACTTGGAGCGGTAGCTCTAAGAAAATTTGGCGGGAGACGAAGGCATAGAGACAGGTAAGTTGTACATATGTTTGTGCAATGACCAGTTGATTTAAATACTAATGAATTTGACAGGACAGTACAGTATATGCTTAAGTTACATTTTATACACCGAAGTGTTCGTGTATCGAAATCACTGAGTATTCTCTGAAGTTACTGGCGAATTAGCAAAATGGCCGCACACAAAACGTCATTGTAAATATTGACTTTTGAACTGTGCCAAATGTAGCTTAAGGAGTTTTTTCTTTATCTGTTCCTGTTTTTTAATAGTTTGGCATTCGTTTATGAACAGGTAAATCTTTTAAGATGTGCGATGGTCTCTAATTTGTAGAATTTCAACATTTCCAACAAGCTGTATATTCACCGTACTGGGTACCTATCCTTTAGTTGATCGAGTGATGGCAGTGGCGTTCTGGTCTTATGTATGGAATGAATGTCACCGTTTAAGTGAAATATTTTATTTGAATCTTGGCTTCGCATGCAATTTCTTCATGTTTTAGTGTGAAAAAGATGAAGTGGTTTGCAAAATGACATTGTCACCCGACCTGCATACGTATGTGCATATGGTGGTGCAGCGGTACTTGTTTGCAAAGCGGTGGGGGGGGGTGGGGGGTGGGGGGGGGAGGGGGGCATTGGTACCATCTGTTGTGAAAGATACAGTATTGTAAACTAACCATAGGCATGTTTTAAAAGATATGAAGCTTAAATTATGACTTTAAACATGTTTACTTTTTTAGAAAAAAACATGTTAACCCAAAATAAGTTTCATTGGTTGGGGGTTTTGAGGCGAAGAATGTCATAAAAATGCCAGTTTAACAAAGACGAATAATATATGTATGTGTGTATGTTCATTAAATGAAACAGGATCTTCAATGATGAGGGCATATCATAGTGGGAAACACCAATATATATATATGTGGTGCTCTGACTTGCATGCGTTTTCTAATATTTTCAGGCCTTGATTCAAATTGGGTTTTTAATTGATGATGGCTGTGCAACTTTGCCCAAAGTTCAGATTCAGATGATTTTTGTTTATAATTACTGTTATGAATTAAGTATAAATAGTGCAGTTTAAGGTAAAGATTGATTGTAAATATAGTGCAGTTTAAGATAAAGACTGATTGTTACAGTTTACCTATTACAAAGATTGCAATTAATTATTATTAATTTCAGTGTGTGAGCGTGTGACAAATGTAGTTAGAATTTTTTAAAATTATATTCTATTGAAAACTCTTATCATTTTTTCTTGGCTTGAATAGCATGAATGGGACCAGGATTACTCTTTTTGCCGTGCCTTGACCAGCAATTATCATAACAAAAGCACCTGGCCATCATTTCCAAATACTGTGTGGCAATGAACACCACAACCTCTGCCATACTTCTAAGGGATGAAAAAATATATTTTTGAGCTGTGCTGTTGCTTATATTAATAGTTATTGGTTCTCAGTATATAGAAATGCAGTTTGTGAAATCATTTTAGGTTTTAACCACATGAAATTAGTTAAAAGTGTAAGGTATGTGCAATTAAACAATATATTGTTTTATTTTTACTGTGCAGGTTTTTTATATATGTGTAGCTTATAGATAATATCTACTCATCAAAATAAAACAAATTTAGGCCCTATTCAAATGCAAATATGGATTGGTACCTGGTATCAGTGAAAGAAAATTAATCTGACAACTCTGGCAAAATTTATGAAATTATATTATTTGTAAAATTTGAAGTGGTCTACTTTGTAAAGGGAAATTTTGTGTTAGTTGGTTAAAAATGTGTACCAATCAAGTAAGGTAGCATTAAATTATCACCTACTTGGTAATTAATGTACAATGTAATGTAAAATAACAATTTTGCAACATACATGTACCACTAGTGTACATAACAATAACTTATGGGTGTTACAATCTGGTGATACCATGTTTCAGACAAGTTGAAATGTTTCAGAGTAGTTGAAATGTAAATATAAATTAAAATATAACAATTCAATAAATGTCTTTCATTTGTTATTTTTCATATTTTAATGAAAGGAATACCCTCATCAGTTGGCCTCATGTAATAAAAAGGTTTATTTACAATAAAAAAAGTTAAAATTCATTTGTATTTGCACCGTGGTAAGTGCCAAGAAAAATTATTTTCATTGTCCCCAATACTCAGTTGCTCTATATAAGTAATACTGTGTTAAGAAAAAACTAAAACGAGACTGAAGCTCATGAGAAATCACTAAGTCAAAGTGAGGCTTTTATACGGATACTGTAAGTGAGAGTTTTCAGGCTCACATGGCCGTGAATTGATTTGTGCCATTCACAGCCTAAGGCAAAGTTCTTTAAATGCTTAAATTGACAGAAAGCTGAATAAATTTGCTACTACTTACTGGTAATTAAAAGCTGTGCGGAGGGCTCTATAGATAAAAAGATCAGAGTTAAAGATGAACTTCCGTTATAGCTTTCGTAAATTTTCGATTTCAAACTATTTAACACTAAATAGGCTCTAGATCAATGTACATAATGTGACCCTCATAGCTGAGATATTGCTTCGTTTCTGACACCCTATAAATCTCCAAAATTTTAGCCGATTCAAAAGTGTAAGGCTGTATTCCCAGAGCTTTTAGCTCGATCTATCCCCGCGGGGAGTCTCACTAGATTACTGTCAGATAATCCGGCTTAAATGTCCGTCCTGCCTACTACAAGCTGTAAGGGGGTAATTAACTTTCGTGTCCGCCCGGCTGACAGCTATTTAGCGTGAACCCCCAGGGAGTTAGGTCGATCTAAAGTAGATCGATCTAATCTCTGGAAATGGGGTCTAAGACTTCCGGTGTGTTTAAAAGCCACCTAGTGGTAGACCGGTGGCTCCCAGGCTGATTGAATTTTCCAAAGTGCCCTTCTATAGGGGTGCCTCATCTGTCATCTACATTAATAATGCTTCAATAATAAAATATCTTAATTTTTGTTTTACAGTATCATTTATCCACTATAATAAACAAATATCTATTGTACTTTTAATAAAACAATGGAATAATGATTACAAATAAGACTTCATTACACATAATCATACACTGAAACAAGTGAAACTATGTGTAGCTCTTTGAAAATGATTCCCTACCCAAACCACTGCATCATTTGGGTTGTCAGCTGCTCTTTGCATCCAGATTGGTATCTAAAATGTGGATAGAAATAATTTTTTCAACTAACCAATTAAAGTATTGATCAATGAAATAAGTAAAAGTGAAATGCCAGTGAATATCTATTTATTAAGTGAATATTTTTATATACTTAGCTTTAAATATGTATAAATATAGGAATATTATGAAGGCTTTAAACATACATATTAAAAATTTTACTGTAAGTACACACGTTGATGCTTTTATTGTCTTAAATTAAAATCTGATCCAAAAGGTTTTCATGTTTCATGTTTCAAAAAACTAGCTTACTGTCTTGTTCTTGTTGGAAATGAAAACAACATAAAAACAATCAATCTCTTCTGGGTGTGTATGTTTCACGTGCTCACATAACTTCCATATGTTTTCCTCACTGTAATGAATAGAAACAACTTAGAAGTCGTAATACAAAATACCCAGATGATAATGAAAAATAATTAATTTCAAGACAAACAAATCTAAAAAAAAATATCAAGATATTTACAAAGTATATTCATAAATTGTTGTAGAAAAAGGACAACAAACTGGCTCAACTAGACAATGATTGGACCATAACCACACCTGGACTGTACAAAACTTTGTATTTATATTTAGCAAATAATTTTCAATATAAATGATACACTCACAGTGAAGGGTGAGATAAAATGGTATATTATTGTTATTACATAATTTGTACAATACTGCTATGAGTGTGGTATGGTGCACAAGGTTAATTACACATGAAGTACATGTAGTTGAAGTACTAAAGACTAAATTATGAATCCTGGGGGGGGGGGGGAATCTCGATAATCCAAAGGTTCATTGGTCTGAAGGTTCCTTGGTCCAAAAATCGTTTGTACGCGCCTCTGATGAACTACTTTATAACATGACGTATTATAAGGAGTTACCGCCTACAGTAAAAAGTTATCAAGTGAAGTTACCGAAATTGCCTGTGAATTATTCAATGTTTCCGACATATTCGTATTTTTCTTTTTTACACATGGTATCTAAACGAAAGTTTGGCCCGCTTAAGTTTTACTAAAAGTGAAGGTTACGATCGATTTTACCAGTAGCAACTAGTGTAAACACATTTCTCTCTCTTTGGAATGATATTGGACATCAGGTACGCTGAGTAAGACAACAATGTTTGGAAGAATGTTGCAGTTTTGTGTACAGTAAAGCTTCTCAACCAGCTAGGCGTCAAGGTTTTTCGTAGTCAACCCGAACCATCGAACCTAACCCTGTCAACGGGCGCAGACATATTCGAGATCTCGTTTGCAAGACGGCTTCCAAAAGTGTGCTACACTGCCGCCATCTATCACTAAGCAAGTTGTTTATAAACCGCCATTTTGAAAAGTCTTTCTTTGTTTCCAACAGCATTGTGTAAGGATTTTAAGCACAAAAAGTAATGATAAAAATTAAATAACAAGAGAAACAGTTGCATCCAAGCGAAACATGAGCTTGTCACTCAGGTAAGGGGATTTTCACGAATGCATCACTGTCACGTAACTCTTACAATGCACAAAGCGAAAAAATTATGGAAAATACTAGTATTTCCTTCACTCAGCTATGATTGAATAAGCTGCTTGAGAATGCTCTGAGTATGACAGAACTTGTGCAGTGTTGCAGAGTGTGGAGTGTGCCAGTTGTGATGCAGCATTGGTAGTGATAATGTCTGCTCTTACTGTCTAGACACCATAATCATGATTATGGATGAATCATCCATAAATAATACAGTTTCATGCATGGGTAAAAGTTAGTGTTCCTATTTATGCTTACTGACACTACTTATACAATAACACGTATGTACTATTTGTGCTAACACGTGAAAGATGTAGGTAAATGTAACTGTGAAAGATGTAAGTAAATGTAACTGTATGATGGTCAGCCTTGCCTCTGTAGCAATCTGGGGGAGAAAATAGGATTCGAACCTGGGACTCTCGCAAAACATGCCACTGCTCTCCCAAGCCACAGCCAGTCACACCCCCCCCCCCCCCCAAAAAAAAAAAAAAAAAAAAAAAAAATTCTGAAAGACAAGTCCAACTCCGTCACTGTTGCCACCAATTGTAGCAATTTGGAGGGAGAAAACACCTGATTTGAACCTGGGACTCTCACAAACCACATGTTTATCCTGTTGACAGTTGTTCTTTTGTAAATCAGATATATGGAAATCCTAGAATCAGGCCTGTACACCTTTGAGGTCAGAAACACCCCAGCACCATCTGATGCCTCAGCAAGGCCAGATATGACCCAGGCTCAGATTTGGAATAGAATGAGTTACTAGTATATGAAAAAAATAAAAACATGCCCTTGGACCAGTATCTATAATCACATCAGGGCTTATCAAGAATTTGATTACTACACTGTATGCTGGGCTTTTTCTAGGAGAAAATTTTAGATAAATCAAAATTTGAACATCATTGATTACTTTTGTAAGAATTAAATGCATTTTACATGGCAGGATTGGACAATATCTACAGTGTAGGCTGTGTAGCTTTGTACAGTGCACCTGGACATGATCAGACAGAAATGTTTTTTAACTCACTTCTGATGGTTCCTGAGATTTGTTAAGATCTACAATAAAATCTAGTTCTGGGTTTTTTTTTTTTTTTTTGGAAACCTAGGCTCATGACTGCATGATATGTATGTATGGTGTATTTTTAGGTCAGAATTTTCCCTTGACAAGGGCAAACGGAGGAAGAGGAGGGAACTTGGAGAAGAACAGAAACAAGAGATCAAAGAGGCTTTTGATTTGTTTGATACTGACAAAGACAGAGCAATTGACTATCATGAATTAAAGGCAAGTTAAGTTTATAAGTTTCTTGAGCTGACACAGAAAATTTTTTGTATCCTGAGAATGGCAGATTGTTTAAATATAAACTGTAAAATAAGACAACAATAATATTATCCACCTTTTTTCATGACACTAAGGCTGGCTTCTAAAGACAGTTATTACTATGTGAAAGATGTTAGGTTGGTAAGGCATTTCAGTTGACATACTGATATATTTTCCAGGTTGCAATGCGAGCATTGGGATTTGATGTGAAGAAAGCAGATGTCCTGAAAGTACTCAGGGACTATGACAGGGAGGGAACTGGAAAAATCACATTTGATGACTTTAATGAAGTCAGTAAGTACATGTTTTTTTCTATATGCTGGGAAGACATTCAAGGCCAGTCTTTGTAAGGAAAGAACTGTAAGCATATGCAATGCAGGCCTGAGGGTTCATCTTTAAAAAAGGCATAGTACAGAAATTTGAGTTTTTATATTTGTACACTCAGAATAATGTGACACTCATGTGTCATGATTTCATTTCCTCGTAACATGGACCAGTGAGACATTTAGAATAGATATTCTTAGATTTCTTTAACATGTCTTCCATGACACAGTTTGGCTGTAAGTTTGAAAAACTCATCTTAAAAAAGAGGGTACATTTGTTTGCACTCAGTGGAAAAGATTATCAAATCTTTTAAGTTATTTGAGTTAAAAAGGTATTAAAAAAATTTTTTTTTCTCATCACATGGAAATGCCTTTTTTTCAGTGACAGATATGATGCTGGAGAGAGATCCCAATGAGGAAGTATTTAAAGCATTCAAACTTTTTGATGATGATGACACAGGAAAAATTAGCATCAGGAATCTCAGAAGGGTGGCAAGGTAGGTGGTCTTAGCCATTTATCTTAGCCTTGTGCAAGCATTCATTTCTTTGTTTTTGAATGCTTAAGAAAAATCTACTTTGGAATTTAAAAAATTGTACAGATTTGTGTCAGTGACTCTCCTTACATTTTCTATATCTTGGCACTACTTGAGTTAACATTTTAAATAGTACATGAGCATGTTAGTTATGATAGCAAGCAAGGCTATAAGCCACCAGCAATTGAGATAAGTTCTAGTGGATGAAAGTAGCCTATGAATGAAGAACTGGTTGATTTTCTAAGAGTCAAGTATCTTTTAATCTGTTAATATGTAGAATTTTCACTTATGGAAAATCGCATAAAAACAGCAGTGGAGCAACTAATGGGAATATTGTTGTGAAATCAAAAATAAAATAAAACTACTAAATATTTCAGGGAACTTGGAGAAAATATGACAGATGAAGAATTAAGAGCCATGATAGATGAATTTGACAGAGATGGTGATGGGGAGAGTAAGTACTAAATAGAACAGCATGCATACAGTTGGTCTTTTCATGCCCAGTATATCACAGTATATAAAGAAATATAATATATAAGCAGACCGCAATCTCTTATCATGTTGAGTTTGGTCATTTTAAAGTCATGTAGATACCATTTACCATTTTAATCAAGAAACATGATATGTAGTTTACACATGTCCATAACCATAACTTTGCTTGAAAGATATGAAATTGCATAAATAAATCTTGAATAAGTGCTAATGCTTGTTTTTCAGTCAATGAAGATGAATTCCAGGCCATTATGACGGGAGATACGTAGTGGATGTAGGACATTAATAGACATCATTTGGTATGGATATTAGCCATGGATATCATTAGATTTGTGCATGCTGTTGAATGATTGTTCATTGCAAATATGTGGACTGAATCAGAATTGATTTAATAATGAAGATGATGGATTTTGATCTCATTCTTGTCCTTTGATGACAAGTGTTGCAGACTTTAAAAAAATCAATAAACTGAGCCTTATAAAGATATCAACATAGATTTTCAATAGTATACACTTTCATCTTTTTTTTTTTTCACACTGACTTGATCTGTTATTGAAATGACAAAGATTCCCTTAGCAATGATTTTGTACTTGAATTCTACTTTTGGTGTACATTTAATGTTTTATTTATATATCAAAACAGTAATTTAAAATGGCAGAAGAAAATATTGTATATCTCATCTTAATATATATATAAACATTGAAGAAATTGCCCAGTACATGTGTGTCTATGAATGTATTGTACCGTTTGTAAAGTTGTTGTGAATAATAAAGTAGAAATAATTATGTTTTTAACAAAAGTCTTTGATGATTTTTTTGTAAATGCTATCTATAATCTACACAGTTTAAAAGATCATAAAGGTAAATTTACATACAAATCTGAAACTTGAGAAAATATTGCACAACATAAATACATTTCTATTAAAAGTTAGAGTAATATGAAACAATTAATACTGGTGTAAAGAGAACTCTAATTACAGCTGTTTTAAATATGTCAACAACTGAATCTAGAAAGTCTAATTGTTCAAAGTAAAATTTTTTTTTAATGACTCTTCCATAAATATTCAATAATGTATTGTACCACTGTAAGGCCCTTTCCACATCACATGGTACACTTAATCTGTATCGCAATGTTTTCACTGGTTCTAACTGTTAATTACGCTACCATGGTTTTTGCTCCCTTTCAGAGGTTCTCTTTGATCTGTGTGGCCCAATTAATATAAGTCAGGTTAACTGGTTATGTTGAGAGCAGCCCCTCCATTAGATAACCCTCTTAAATAATAGCCAGGCTATTCATTTGCCAATCTCGCAAATCATTGCGATGCAGATAATATATTCCAGGACCATAGCCAGCAATTTCAAAAGGGGGTTTCTTTTCTAGAAAAAGTTACCCGCAGTGGACCTTTTCCCAGCAGAAAGGGTGGTTCTTTTGAACCCCCCTGGCTACGGGCCTGTATTCCACTGTACTTCACTTGAATATTTCCCTTGCCAATGCTGATCAGTTGGTTGTTGTCCATCGTGAACTTAACTCCATATGTAAGTTGCAAAATATACTTTTGTTAGATCAGATAATCTTCCACTGCAGGACACATGTATCTCTGCCGCCTACACTGATTACATGACTGTTGTCAGCAGTAAACTTCACGCCATACACACAGCGGTGGGCACGATAGGTGTGGCTGAAACCCTGGGAAGAAAAAAAAACAAAAAAATAACATTATTCACTTTAATAAAAATATACAAAATTATAAAAAGAGAATTATGGTTTTGTTCCAGTTGTAAAAAATCTGATATATCCTTTCAGGGCTTAGGTGTTAAAATGATTTGGATTCAGTATAGTAATAGCACTTCCATTTGTGTCACATCAAGGAAAAGTTAATAAATATATCAAACTCCAAAGTTTATTGGTCTAAAAACCTTTTTCAATAGACATCCCCTTTTAACCTGCCCATTCAGATAATACTGAAAGAGATGTTGGACCAGGCTTACCCCGTCTTGACTGCAGGGATGTCTGAATAAGCTTAGTCTCCCACTTCCATCTCCCATGACCAGTATATTAGTAGCAGCATTCACATCCAAGCTCATTATGTCTGCCTCTTGGGCTTGTTTGCTTTTCCACACACCTATTCGTAATATGTTGGATCAAATTCATGAAAATGTGTGCACGAGAGAAAGGGGAAGCTCAATAAAAAAAAACAAAAAAGAATTTGACCATCCCTGATGGTAAAGATTCATCATTCATTACAGCATCTTCCTTGAAATCCATTCTTGGTTACTTGCATCATCAGGTAGCCAGCTAACAGTGAGACAAAACTTAAACTGTGTTTCAGATTATCAATAAGTTAATAAAAACCAAGTGTATCATGATGACTGTTGATATATTTGTTTTTAAATGAATTAACCCAACATCTAGACATCCATGTACCAACCTGCTACAGTGTAGTCTAGAGTGCACTGCATGGATCCCCAGTCCACATTCCTTAGTGTTTTGATTTCTGTTATTTCTTGTAAGAGGTTGGTATCCCCTGGACAAAAAGAAAAAAAAAGTTACAATTATACATAATAAATTACTGTCAACTCTTCCACAGTACACATATGGGTCTCTCTCTCTCTCAGTTTGTGTGTAAAATATGCCAGCTTCATTCTTTTATTTTTAATTATTTCATATTAAATTAGCTTGATGAATGACTTAAAAAGAAAATACTTACAGAACTTTGCAGTGTGGTCACAACAGCTACTTCGTAGAATCCAGCTACCTTCAACTTTCTCCACTGACCAGTCAAGGCCCGTTATACTAGACATGTGGCCCTTAAAGGAAAAAATAACAAACCCTATATAAATTAATGTACACTTAATGTTAAACCATTGTGAAAAAAGTATGATATTTTTTAATTCAAACAAAACGGATTAGTTTCCATGAAATGGTGTTTTTGTAAATAGTAATGCTGATTCAAGTTTTGAAAAGTTAGTTTGCTTCTTGTCAGAAAGAGCATTTATGTGAGTAACTAAGAAATAAAAAATCTTGAAAAAATAGGATATTATAATAAGTGAGTTGTCTCAAAACTAAGTAAATATTGCACAATTAGCTCCATCTTTAAAATCAATTTCTCAGCTGATTAAGGAGGCAATTTCTTTATAAACTATATTTTTGTATAAAATAGGTAAAATTAAAATCAATTTTGTGGCAAAAATATTTTGTGGTTACATTTACTCACTCCATTTCATCTGTGAAAACTTACTTTGAATTCCCCAACTACTTCTAGTTGCCTGTTCATCATCTCATTAACATCCACCTGGATAAGATGAAGAGGGCTGTTGTGACTGGCCACAGCTATCATAGAGCAATCTGAAACCACAATCACCTTATCACAAGCCTGCTCTTCATTCCAGAATTCTCGTATTCTAACAACTACTTTGTATGTATTTCCCATGTTGTGTTTAACTATGGGCTCATTTCTACTGAAACTATTGATCCTTGTAGATCAATCCAACTCTGCAGGGACTCTCGCTGAATGGAATCAGTTTAACAATAACAGATTAATACACCTCCTCTTGTTCTCAATGTGCTTGATTGTATAATCACCAGCTTTTTCTGTATTCTACTCAACGCCAGATGAGTTCACGTGGAGTTGGATCGATCTACATTGACCTGAAGTTTCAAGGGGAAGAGCACTATCTTAACTTTTTCTTTGCTTTAAACAAATTCATTCATATTTTTATGTGCTGATTATCATCATGGTCTGTGATTAAATTTTCAATCACCCAAATGAGAAAACAAATAAAATGTATGATAATCACAACACCAATAATAACAACATGTTTTCAACATTATTAACTTAAATCTTCTAGGACATATGAAAATCCTGCTTCTGATTTTAATAGCAACACAAAGAGGAAGAAAACAGGAGTACCAACCAGGGGCAAAAGCTATCTTGTCAATCCTGTGTTTGTTCAATTTTATCCTGTGTTGTTCATTGAGATTCATTGAAGATGAAAATTCCAAGAGGATTACACTAAATAAGAAGATAAAGTTGCCTGCAGTTACTTGAAATTTTATATATATTTTAAAGAAAAAATGTGAACAAACGAGTAAGTCAATTTCACCTTCATTAATCAAATACCAATTTCATGGTGGAAATTTTAAAAAGTTATAATTTTTAAAATAAATTAAAAATAATACAGTTTCATTCGATGATTTCTGCCAGTTTCTCTCAGAATAACTTTCAGCTCTATATACCCTCCATCCTTGGTTCCCAAGGTTAGTAGATTTCCTGAGTGACTTACATCTACACATGTCACATGGGTGTTCTGTAGAAAAACATAAATAAACAAATAAAGTTTCAGTGATTCTAAACCTAAATATTAGTACAACATATCAATGTGTGGTGATACAACAAAATGTTTTTAGAAAAAGTAAAAGTGAAAAATAATTTGTACATTATTTTAATCATCTTGCATTAGATGTCTCTCTCTTTTAATTACCTTGAGGTAAGCCTTCCACAGGCCCCGTCTTGTCTGTGCATCAAACAGACAGAGTATACCATCATAACCTGCTGTCAGAAACCAGCCACTGTGTTCTGAGTTATGAACAACTGAAAGACCCCTTAGATCATCAAAATGTCCCTAAAATTTTAAAACATTAATACAATAATTATATAAATAATTCAAATAAAATGTTAGCATGCAAAACCAAAAGAAGTTTCTTTTGTACCTAAGCATGGACACTTCTTGTACCCCTCCCCCCAATTCCAGCTAAGCCTTTCTTTAGATATTACAACTTACAGTGCAAATCAATAGCAATTGTAATTGAAACCCATAATGCATATCTAACTTGTTATTGTTTTAATCAATCTGGTTGAAAAAAGAGTATGAATCAAAGGTTCATCTAATACTCTCAAAATTGTGGTTGGCCTTTGGAAAAAAATACAACATGGATTCTGTTATTTAAAATCTGCTGTAAATTTGGTCACCTGTGTTAAAGGAATTGGTTCTGGAGTGAGATCACTGAGAGGAGGGCCCTGGGAAGCCATCTTGGCAGAGACTATGGCATTCATGGTGGTTCCACACAGCAGTCTGTCCCCACAGACCTGGATCATCCTCAACCCACCCTCTGTTCTAGGCAACTGGAAGATGGGTGATAACACAGTTACTGCAAGAGAGAGAAAGCATGCAGGGGGTGGGGTGGGGTGGGGGTGGGGGATGGAAGGGTTTTCAAAAGAACAACCATTTTGGCATGGGAAGATGTGCTCAGAATCCATATCTTATATACTAATAGGTTCTGTGCCATTTTTTAAGGAGGTAAAAAATTCAATTTTTCCGGAAAAAGACCTCCCTTTGAAATTGCTGTATACAGGCTCAAATTGAACCCCAGTCTTACCATGGTGTTATGAGTTTCAGAGGTAACTTGACACTATCCTCTAATACATTTATTACCATTTCTTTGCTGTTGCTGAACAGGAGAGTTTTCAGTAACCTCTTACACTCAGGGTGTGTTATATGTATGGTGAAAAGCTGTTTCTTTTGATACTAAAATTAAAAGAGTGAATGATAATGTTTTATGTCATGTAAATTGGATGTCATCTTTATTTCTCATTGAAAAATAAAATACAATGTCATATTTTGTGTGAAATTTTGCCTCTGAAGTTATGCCGGGGCCATTTCTCAAAGATATTCCAGACATAAAAATCTGAACAAAATAACAAAATTGAAGTGCACCTTCATTTCACCAGCAGTATCCATATTTTTATTCCATGCCCAAGCACACAGTTTGCCATCTCTGCCTCCTGACAGTAACGTCCCTCTCAATGATAGAAGGGAAAACACTGGACCCTGAATAAAGTTATATGCAAGATACTTTATTTTTCCAAACAAAAATAAAGTCAAACCTTTTTAAGTCTACATGATTAAATATGTACCTAAAATATTCCTTGTACACATCTGGACCAACAATATTGTTTTTTGAACTTGCAGAATTTTCAATTATGATTCAAGTATGATTAAGATATTCTAATAAATATCAATGATTTCACTACAAATACTGCTAAATTCCTATCCATTATACAAATCGACTTACCTCATGTGCATGTTTGATATAGTTTGTGATAACATTGCCACCATATCCCCAAACGTATATAGTACCATTTGAATCTCCAGTGACAAGGTCCCCCTTGTCATTGTGCATCATACAGATGATGAACCTGGCTTTATTGTGTTTCTGCATGAAAAAGAGTATTTTGAATTATTCACTGTGATTCACTGTGCCATTTTCAATTCATAAAACATCTGAAATTAAGCAAGTGGTGAAAATTAAAAGAAAAATGAATAATCAGCATTAATCATGTCACTTGTTTTTACCTATGACAAAAAAATGTAAACACGGGAGTGCTAGCAGCTTCAGTGCACTTACAGCAATGTCCTTAAAAAACATGTCAGTTATGGAATCGAAATGACTTTTAAAAATTGAGAAAAAAATGCAGTAAATAATGTCGTAATTACCTCATAATTGGGATTTCCATTCATCTCTATCATGCCTCCCTCCACATATGCTTTCCACCACGCAATGTGTTCTCTTCCAATGGTGACTAGGATTGCAGGATCTCTGGGGTTGAACCCAACATCGCAAATAACATCCACTCCTATCTGAATGAAAGATAAAAGACAAAAACTAAAATTTTCATAGCTCCCCAAATTCATCACTCTGAACTTCAGCAACAAACGTTCATCAGAATGTATTCCTATTCCACTGCTGTTTGTTATAATTGACTTGTAAATTATGGGACCATTCCCAAACCCTATTAACTACTAACTGTGGATCGATCTCTCTCTGAGGGGATTCTCNTGGGGTGGGGTGGGGGTGGGGGATGGAAGGGTTTTCAAAAGAACAACCATTTTGGCATGGGAAGATGTGCTCAGAATCCATATCTTATATACTAATAGGTTCTGCATGTGCCATTTTTTAAGGAGGTAAAAAATTCAATTTTTCCGGAAAAAGACCCCCCTTTGAAATTGCTGTATACAGGCTCAAATTGAACCCCAATCTTACCATGGTGTTATGAGTTTCAGAGGTAACTTGACACTATCCTCTAATACATTTATTACCAAAACTCTGCTGTTGCTGAACAGGAGAGTTTTCAGTAACCTCTTACACTCAGGGTGTGTTATATGTATGGTGAAAAGCTGTTTCTATTGATACTAAAATTAAAAGAGAGAATGATAATGTCATATATGTCATGTAAACTGGATGTCATCTTTATTTCTTATTGAAAAATAAAATAAATGTCATATTTTGTGTGAAATTTTGCCTCTGAAGTTATGCCGGGGCCATTTCTCAAAGATATTCCAGACTTAAAAATCTGAACAAAATAACAAAATTGAAGTGCACCTTCATTTCACCAGCAGTATCCATATTTTTATTCCATGCCCAAGCACACAGTTTGCCATCTCTGCCTCCTGACAGTAACGTCCCTCTCAATGATAGAAGGGAAAACACTGGACCCTGAATAAAGTTATATGCAAGATACTTTATTTTTCCAAACAAAAATAAAGTCAAACCTTTTTAAGTCTACATGATTAAATATGTACCTAAAATATTCCTTGTACACATCTGGACCAACAATATTGTTTTTTGAACTTGCAGAATTTTCAATTATGATTCAAGTATGATTAAAATATTCTAATAAATATCAATGATTTCACTACAAATACTGCTAAATTCCTATCCATTATACAAATCGACTTACCTCATGTGCATGTTTGATATAGTTTGTGATAACATTGCCACCATATCCCCAAACGTATATAGTACCATTTGAATCTCCAGTGACAAGGTCCCCCTTGTCATTGTGCATCATACAGATGATGAACCTGGCTTTATTGTGTTTCTGCATGAAAAAGAGTATTTTGAATTATTCACTGTGATTCACTGTGCCATTTTCAATTCATAAAACATCTGAAATTAAGCAAGTGGTGAAAATTAAAAGAAAAATGAATAATCAGCATTAATCATGTCACTTGTTTTTACCTATGACAAAAAAATGTAAACACGGGAGTGCTTGCAGCTTCAGTGCACTTACAGCAATGTCCTTAAAAAACATGTCAGTTATGGAATCGAAATGACTGTTAAAAATTGAGAAAAAAATGCAGTAAATAATGTCGTAATTACCTCATAATTGGGATTTCCATTCATCTCTATCATGCCTCCTTCCACATATGCTTTCCACCACGCAATGTGTTCTCTTCCAATGGTGACCAGAATGGCAGGATCTCTGGGGTTAAACCCAACATCGCAAATAACATCCACTCCTATCTGAATGAAAGATAAAAGACAAGAACTAAAATTTTCATAGCTCCCCAAATTCATCACTCTGAACTTCAGCAACAAACGTTCATCAGAATGTATACCTATACCACTGCTGTTTGTTATAATTGACTTGTAAATTATGGGACCATTCCCAAACCCTATTAACTACTAACTGTGGATCGATCTCTCTCTGAGGGGATTCTCGCTAAATTTTATCAACTAGGGGCTAATTAATTATCTTTAAGCAGCTTCAGTAGGCATGCCAGACATCTAAGCCACTTAAGCTGAAAGCAATTTGGCGAGAAACCCTTCAGAGATGGATCAATCCTGTTAGATTGATGTAGGTATGGGAACCCAGTCTATGAAGCCCAGAGTAAAATCTATATACATTTAAAAAAGAAAACAATTATGCAATGGCAGCAGCACAAGTTAATATGTTTTTACTTTTAGTGTCTGACATTATCCGGCCATACATCACTCACCAAAACGTGGGCCAGGCGTTTCCCGAGGCTGACGTCCCAAATGCTCATGACATGCTCAGCGCTGTCATCTACTGCCACCAGACGGTCCTGCAAAACATGTCGAAACATCAGTTAATTTGATAGTTTCTTTAATCAACAACAAAGATTTCAATTAAAAAAAATAGTTCTCCAGCATTTTTGTGTCCCTAACCATAGCCTGAGGTGTGCTGTCAGGGTACCTGACATATGTATAGGTATCCCTTTGAAAAACTGGTAATTAATAAAAAAAAAAAAGGAAGAACAGTGCTTGTAGCACAGTGTTGAGCAACTAAAAGTTAATTTTATTTCTTACCTAGGAATAGCAGTACAGAGAACATTTTCAATTGCTTACCTGAATTTTAAACTGAGAGTTAGAATCCATTGAATCTCCATGTGATTTCTGAAATATACAACAATATGCACATAAAATTTAAAGTGAGAAAGAAGCCTAGGTTTTTTATCTTTAAAAATCTGAACTTTCAATTTAATCACCAGTAAAAACTAAAAATCATAATAAGTAATTTGAAAAATTGATTTAAAGACAAAGAGTATAACCATGTCTCTTTCAAAATGAAAGGAGTTTTAATTTGTGATCGATATGCAATTATATAAATATATTTATCATGTCTAAAAATTCAGATTATATTGGTTATTTATTTTTTATTGGTTTAAAAAATTTTTTGATTTTCAAGATCACGACAAAGGTTCATGACAATAAGATGTACATGTAGCAATGAATTGCATTACCACATAACAAATTTAAATTTTATTTTGGTAAATTGTTTTGGATGAATGGTGAAGGTGAAGTTAATAAGGGGCATATGGGGGAGCGTAGTATTGGGTAAAAAATAAACAAGGCCTATTTTAATAGAGTTTTGAATGCATGGAATTTGTCCTCTATTGTAATTTAAGTATATGTATACACTTGCCTTGATCCTGGTAAATGCCATGCACACCACAGATTTCTCAAAAAAACCCATGCCACAAACATGGAGAGTTTGCAAAGTGTCACAACGCCAGATTCTGATATGAGCCTGTCAAAAAAAAAAAGAAAACAAAACAAAAGTTTCAATATAAAAAAGATTCTGTCCAATTGTTACTTTTGAAGATACTAGATGCTCCAGAATATATACTAATATAGGACCACAGCATGAAACTTGCATAATAAAAATGAAAGTAACAACTTGTAAGAGGCTGATTACACGGAATTCATTTTGGCGTCTTAGTTTCTTACATTGTTTTCCTGCTTGGAGGACTCCTGTCCAGTTGCCACGGTAACACCATTAGAGTGTAATGCCATGCTGCAAAATAAAATCAAATATCAGTTTTAACTGTGATATATAATGAACATTTTCAAATGATACTCAAATTCATAAATCAATTTTCATTTCATATATGATGTCTAAAGTTCGTACTAAAAATATACGAAACTCCCTCTATAAAGTAACAATTTTGAAAATGAGCATTGTTTTATTCAGAAAAATATCAATTAGTTCAATTATTTATCTATTATAAAGACGTGAATACAGAAAATAATTAACTTTACCTCCCCCATAAAAAAGCAAACTGAAATTGTTTTATCTTACCATTTGATGTCCTCTGTATGCTCTCTGTAGTGTCTCTGTGAATGTGACTCATTGTTATACAGTACAGATATAGGGCCCACAAAGTACAAGATCTCCCCTGCACTTGTAATGTGGATGTTACTACGGCAATCATTGCCTCGGTATCCATATCTGTGGATATAAAAGTTTATATTAACGTTTCAAATGAAAACATGCACCCTGATCAATTTTGTCCTTGACAGCAAATGAAAAAAATGAAACTTTTAAAACGCTGCGTTAATTATCTTCTGAAACCTGTCCACCAGCTCCATGACAGTTAACCCTAATAAAAGAAGCTATTCAGTTAATTACTACTTACACCCACTCCAATTTGAGTCTTTCTTTTGGTGGATCAATAGCATGTTGTTTCCCCAGGTAAACATCTGGGATGTATAACTTTGTATCTTTTCCCTTGATATTCATCACAATTTCAGTATTGTCCTCAGCTTGTACTGGGGGTGGAGGAGGGGAGCTTACTTCTGCATGGAGGTCAGTTGAAGTTGCTGCATTTTGGCCATCTGAAGTATCTTTGAAAATGTTCATCAAACAGATGCAGACAAAGAAACACAGTATAATGTGCATTGTGCATAACAAAATCTCAAAGTTATTAATTTTCCATGCTCATAAGGTGCTGACCTAAAGTATTTGATTTAATCCTATAAAAGTTTCCATAAGACACAGGCCTACCCAACTACCAGACTCGGCACCTACGGATCCAGAATAAACTGGTATATCAGACCACACTACCCGTTTTCAAGGTGTTCGTCAGATCGCATTACAGAGTATCATACCCCATCACAAATTTTGTAAGCCTATCTGTCATCCGGGTATCGCGCATCGTTTTCGTCAAGTAGGAGTCGTATGAATACAACAATATGGTGACAGACGACTCCCTCAATCAGGGGGTGGAAACGCGCTACTTTTATGATTAAGACGAGCCTAGCCGTCAATACCGGTTATTGTTTTGTGACCTTGAGGAACAATTAGGTTTGGTCGTTGCGGCACGCATGAACAGTAGTTGAACTACCACACCTGGGTCTTTTGTTTTTGACAACTGTTCACTCGTCATCGAGGCGCTTGTTCAAGACTACAGGCTGATATCTACTAGTACTACCAGTCGCTTCATTACTAACGTTCCCACAATACTTAGTTTTTTTGTCTGTGTGTACATACCCTGAAAAAGGCCAGCCTCGCTGACGAGAACAATGGACGTTTCTCACCCCTCTCTAGGATTACCCCTGCCCTCAATATCGTCCATCCCGGTAGTCATGAAAATATTTAACCCCCCCAACAGAATATGCTTCTGCTATCAAAATTAGGTCTACTTTTCTAAATTAATATATAAGTTTGCAAGTTCTTATTTACAAAACATCATTGGCTATGTCTGAACCTAAATTTTATGTTAAAAATTGCGGTATTGTCAGATTTTAGCATAAACAGGGAAAATTGCAGCAGCGCATGAATCTAGATGAGATGCACTACTTTCCAACCCCGCTTAGGATCATTGCTATCACATCGGGCACCAGGCAAAATCGGTGTGGTGGCTGATACTCTGTAATGCGATCTGACACACACCTTGAAAACGGGCAGTGTGGTCTGATAAACCGGTTTATTCTGGATCCGTAGGTGCAGAGTCTGGTAGTTGGGTAGGCCTGAGACAACAAAATCTGAAATCAACTGGAACAAAACACACACACACACACACACACACACACACACACATACACACATTGCAATAATATACCTTCATTGCACCCTTGTTCTTCCTCATGAATTGTGTGAGAGGTGACGGGCCTGTCAGACTGTATCTCCTCGCCCATACCAATCTGGGAGTTCCGGCCTTTGAAAGCAAGGAATGAAATGTAGGGATCTACAGCATATAACCATTACATAATACAATGCCTCTACAAATGCCATAAAATATAATTGTTTTAAAAGTCACAATAGTCACAGAAAATTAAAATCATACAATTACCTGTAAGTTTGTTTTTCACAGATGATAAGAACCCAGATGCTGTCTGAACTGGAGCTGTTGTCTTTTTAAACTCTGGAAAACAGAAAGTTAAGAAAAATGTGTAAAATTTTATTTAAGAAATTAATTCCAAGGTATAACATTGATAATACTGGTACATGCTGCATGGTGTAGTAGTTTTGAATAATTTATACTAAAAGTAACAAGTAGTGACAAAGTGTGTGAAATATGTACAAGCTAAGTTATTACCACATCTATAGCTACAATGAAAATATTCTAGCAGATTTTCAATAAAGGCTATGATCTGACACTAAAATATTATGCGAACTTTGATCAAGTTTAATACAGAGGATATTCTATTATTATTTACATATTTAACAATGCATCTACATTTTTACTAGACAAACTTTTAACAGCCAAAAAAAAAAAAACATGCACTAATTAGCATTATATAATTACCTTTGCCAAGGATGTTGTTTTTGCCTTAGTTGGTTTGTAATAGGTTCAAACAGCCTAACTCAAGAAGTTATGAACAGATTTTGATTTTATTTTCAGGATAGGTCTGAAATGGGCTAACTTGGAATCAATTACATTTTGGTGGTTATCTACTGATTAAATCATCAATCAATTAAACAAAATAAGAAGAATGAGAACTGTGCTGCCGTCTGTGCCTTCATGAAGGTGTATGATTACTAAGTACTTTTCTTAGTTACCTTTACTTTGCTGGCTCCTAAGACTGCTCCTGAATGGTTTTTGTTTACCCAAATTGCCACCTTGGTAATATATATGTATAGCTATATAGCTATATTGGACATGGTAAACACAAAGCAACAGCTAGAGAGCCACACAATAATTACATCTATTTCTAATAACATTATCTACTTTAATTCATCAATGCTTTCTACTTTTTTACTCTTCACCTTTTTTCAACAAAACAACAGTATTGTCTAATCCAAGCCTGAAATTAAATGCAAAGCTTCTAAAATACAGATTACAATTCTACTAGCTAAATAAGAATCACTCATGCTTAAAACTACCATGTTAACTGCATGTAAGCACATACTTTTGATTAAGGACACTAAGCAAACCAGACACAAATGTTCCTCTTACTTGAGTTTCTTCCTTCTTTCTTGGCAGAGGTCGTTTCCCTGCTGGTTGGGGTCTCCTTCAGGTTAGGCTGTGAGGAATGAGTGGAGGCAGAGTGAATTTTTCGAATGGATTTATTTTTAGATGAGAGCGTAGGAGCAGTAAAGTCATCACTTCCACGTCTCTCTGTCCGTCTGTTAGTGCTAGACTTTGGTCGCTTAGAGTTTTTAGATGATGAAGATTTGGATGTGGATGCAGTATATGCTGGTAGACTTTTCTTTCTGTTAGGAGTATCTTTGGCTTTGTCTTGCTCTGCCTCTGTAAATGCTTGTTTTTTAGGTAACTGAGCTGAGTTAGACCGAGATTTTGAATCATTGACTTTTATGGATTCACTGGCATTTAATTGATTTTTGTCTGATAGATCAACAACTGTACAATAGTCAGATTGAGTATTCTCTTTGCCTGATGCATCATCTGACCTGACAGACATCAATTTTTTAGCAGTTTCTTGTTCATTTTGTGCTTGCGCGTGTGCCTCCTTTTTCTGAGGCGTTTTTATGGATTGATTATTAGCTTTTGTTTCTGATTCAAACCATTTACAAATTTCATTAATATCTGGAATAACCTCAAATGATGGTCCTCTTTTTTCCGTGGATTCATTGTTTTGTCTGTGTGGAAGAGGATCTGCTTTTGTACTGACTTGAGAAACATTTTCAGATTTAGGGTCAACAGCAGGTTGAGCCTCGATTGTTTTTGGTTGTGATTGTGTTTGTTGAGACACTTGAGATGAGGTGTCTCCAGCAGAAGAATTGCCACTCATGTTCAGTTGAGATTGCATCTGTTGAGATGTCTGTGATGTGTTGAAGTCCATTGAGGCCTGGGAGTGATGACTGATAGGCAAGGTGTTCTCAGGGGACGACACAGCCTCTGCAGGGGAAGACTCAGCATGCTCAGGTAACATGGCTAGGGTGTGGGTTGGGAGTGCACTAGGTCTAGGCGTGGAGGTGAGAGGGGGTGGAGGGGGTGCAGCAGGGGGTGGTGGAGCTTGCTCTGGAATTACAGGGAGCGCTGGTGGTGGTTGGGCATTCACTGGTGTTTGGACCTAGGTAAGGAAGGAATTGACATCAATATCATGCAGGATACTAATATTTATACACACACAATATGTATCAGCAGACCTGTAGCCAGTCTATTTCAAAAGGAGGTTCTTATTCCAAAAAGTGGACCTTTTTCCCCTTAGTTTACTGAACTTTGATTCAGACTTAACCTTCTCCAGCCTGAAAGAAGATTCTTTCAAACCTCCCACATTTGCCTATAGGCCTGATTATTTAGAACAAATATTTTGAATTTTTTGTGTTGTCATTTGGGACTAAGGATACAAATCAACATTCTCAGTAACGCCAATTCTTCAATCATAAACTTAATATTTCTCAAAATAATTTTAATTATATGAAAAAAATGTTCTTAAATATTACTTATTATATTCATAATGTTATCAAATTTATCAGCATTATTATCATCATTATCATTCTTTTTAATATTACTATTACTGTCGTTATTATTATTATTATTATTATTATTATTATTATTATTATTATTATTATTATTATGACATTTAATATGTATACTATTGTTGTACCATACCCATGACAAAGATGTCATAGTGAAATACACTATACTATCCTATAGACATAATGATAATAAAACTATAAAGAATTACAAGAGACCCATTGAAACATGTCCCCAGAAATGCTACCTCATTTGCAGAAGAATTAAGTGCATCCTCTCCCATGGTAAAAGAAACAGTATGACTCATACTGCTCATGGATTGAGACAAACTAGTTTGTGGTCGTTTCAAAACCTGTGGCTTCTTCTCCACCAAATTCTGCCAGGATCTTTCCAGAAAACTAATCATTTCAGGCCAGCTGGAAGCAGACAACAACCCATTACAACACTCCATTAAGAAGCTAACTGTTGTCTGAATGTAGTTAGGTATCCTAATTATGTTCATAAAGTAAACGTAATGGGATATGTAATACAGGTAAAGAAGAATATCATTAAGATCACATTTCACACAGCAAGCGCTAAACTGTGATATTTGAATCCATTTCATCTCTTAGGAGTAAAGTTCAGATACCCACTTAAGATTTTTCTGTCTCCTTGCTTCCATTTTTTTTCTTTCTGTCTAATACTGACTTACCTTATCATTTCATTCTTTTCGTCATCACACCTGTTCATGATGCCATTTAAGAGAGCTCCATAGATTGGGATTTGGTGGTTCAGGCAAATCTCCAACATCTGTCAGGAAAGAGGAAAAACAAAATTGTGTTTTTATTCTCATTTACTACTCCGACACATATTCTTATAAATTGTCTTAAGTTGAAGGACACCTGAAAATAATGCTGCTGTTTTGTTTCTTAACAATTTTTTGTTTTCAGCATTGCTTAAGTGTGCCACAAAATTTTACACATACCTGTATCAGTATATTTGCTGTTTCACTAGTCCATGTCTAAGCATAGTTTTAACTCTTATAAAATAGCATGTACCTGTTTCTTCGCTATTTTCCCTGTTCTGTTAGAATCTTGGGTTTGAAAAGACTGCTTCAATTCCTCCGCATCGAAATATTCCCCTCCACGCTCCATCTGTTCCTCCAGTCTTCTCAGGAGATCAGCGTCTTTCTCTTCCTGTGTTAATTGGGACTGGCACTTGTCCACATCCAAGTCATTCCGAGTATTTATGGCAATAACACTGTCCCTGCCTGAAGAGAAAAAATATATACATATTTATTTAACCTATATTTAACAGACCACTTACTTTATACAAAAATTATAGAATAAATCTTCAACCACATTTAAACAAGTTTTGTTGGAGTTTGGAATCCTTTCAATTTAAAATTAATTTTAACTCATGGTTCTCTTATTATAACACATATTGTCAATCTATAGCAAGTGTACAGGTTCATCTCCTGTAAAATACAACTAAAATGCAATTTGACACTTATGGGGTAAATATTACAAAAGGACATGAAAAAATCTAATAGCTGCCATGAAAATATTTCAATCAAATTGGTTTTCTAACTAAACCTGCCTTTTTATCAAATGAAGCTCCCCTGAAATTTGTAGTAAAACCAAAGTATGGTTTGGCAGTCACAGTAAAACTGTCACCAAATTTTTAATGCCTCTGTGTATAAAAATCTTCCAGTATATAATGAATATTCATGAAAATAAAGTTAATAAAATTAACCACACCTGTCTTTGACTGTGCTGTTACAAGACATTTGTAGAGTTTTTCAAAATCTATTCCTTTTTGGTCTGTGAATCTTTCCACTAGCATCTGGAAAACTCTGTTGGGAATTTTCAAGTTGTTTTCCTGAAAAGTAAAAATGATATTTGAAAAAGTTTTGTTGGCTAAATATTCAGTAAGCAGAAAACTATTTGGCTGTTTAAATAGTTATATCTGCTTAAAATCAATACATGCAAAACTTTAATATTAATAAATGGTTCAATTTTGTTTTAGCATGGGTTTCAAAGGTTTCTTAAAATGTTAAAAAAGCATGTCTGAATGTTTACAATAAATAAATAAATAAATAAATAAATAAATAAATAAATAAATAAATAAATAATTGATAAAGCTAAATGGTAATCATCAAATACCATACAAATGTTAACCAAATTAACCTCAACTTTGCTTACAAATAAATATTCTTTCTCCCAATATATCTAAATGCCTGCATGAAACAATTTATTCTAGAATAACATAAGATTGTCACCTAAACAGAGCCCAGGGCTTGACATAGCCAATTATTAATTTACTTAACTAAACTTGCAGGAGGAAGAGAACTTGTAGTAAGAGTGCTTGTGAAAGGTAGTAAAACCCTCAGTAGCTAAATTTAATGTTAAAACTTCTAAAAGTGAACTGGTACAAACTGCATCAGTTAAGTTTAACTCTCTATGTAAAAATGACCTTAGCCTACCTGAAGCACCTGAAAGAGTTCCTTGCTTGTTACCCTCGACTCAACATTGGACCCATATTTACGTAAACTCATCTGAACAGCTCTCAAGCGTTGCCGACTGCATTCTTTCAAGGGGCCCCTGAGCATGGAGTGAAGATGAATTTCTGGGTCTTCTTCTGTAACTTTACCTCTGTCTTCTTCCTCTTGGAAGGCACTAAAACTGGCAACTGACATGATAATAAAAAAAGCTTAACTTGCAGTCCTTTCACTGAACCATGTAGTACTTCAAAATTGGAACATGAAGGAAATTTGGTGATATAGATTTTTACTTGTATTACGTGCAAAGATGGCAAAAAAGGAAATTGACTAAACTTGTCTCTCCCTGTTTGATAATGGGTCAACCATGCCTCAAAGAGAAAAAAACTTGTTTAATCTTTACATAAATTATTTACTTTTTTATCACGAAGGAAACTGTCATTATTGGATGAATAGCAGTTAAGATTGTTTAGGGTTTTATTCACTAAACCTGATATCAAATTGAGTAAACATTTCTAAAAGTTATTAAAAGATACATCACAATGACCAATTACTAGAGTGTGGTTCTTATTTCACACATCTGTTTCATCTCAAATATTATTTTCATCATTTAACTGATGTACTGTATATTTCAGATAACACATGTATATCATATATCATTTTATTGTTGTAGAAATTGAACTGAAATATCTTGTCATACTTTCAGCCTAACATTTTAATTTCCTGCTGTAAATTTACAATCTATATTTGATACAATGTACAGTGTGTATAAAGTTCATCAATAAAAAAATCAATTCTCTGCTGTTCATTATCTGGACAAAGCCCTCCATTATTGATTTCAGGTGCTGGACTTAAATGCTTGTTACAAGTTACTCAGCAACAGATGAACACGTAATTATCCTGCTGAATTCTTGCTCATTCATGGCACATAGAAATTTGGTATTAAGTTTATCATGGAAAATAATAATGATAATAATAATAATACTAATAAACAGAAAATAAAGATGTGTTTAAATCTTTGTTTTTGGTGATAACATTCATATCATTTCATGACGTGCAATTCACAGTTTTTTCACACAATACATTCTTTTTTGCTGAAATTGTCTTTTAAGATTCTTGAAAAATTCTTGAAAAAAATATGTTTGTTTTTATTAAATAAAAAAAAAAAAGAAAATTTAGTTTGACTATGTCTTACCACCCAGGTGTTCAACTTACTTGAGTTGCCTCCTAAAGAGAGCTCAGTGGCCCTGGGAGTTCTCCTCGTTTTAGCAGACTGAGAATTTGATCTTTTCTGAAATCAACATGACAATGTTTTCCATAACATGTCAAATTTGTTTAAAAAATACACTTAATTTGGTGCACTGGTTAAAAGTTTGCGTAAAAGAAGCTTTTAAATCTGATTTTTTAACCAGCCTGCTAATATACATGTACAACTTCAGAGACATTTTGTGGAGGTTACAAGAATCTTAATGAGCTTCCTCCAAAATTTGGTGTAAACTACATGTAATTACAATTGAGAAAAGTTACCAATATGTATTCCTACCATCTCATTCCATGCCTGTGAACCATCACTTGAATTCAATGTAGAGTTCAAGCTGGTGTTCAAATTGAGAATCCCTCCAGTCCTGGCAACAGTTCTGAGGCGACTGTGACCAGATTGGCTCTTGTTCTGAGACATTGTTGCTGTGTCTACGTAGGCGTCTTCAAAAACCTCAAGTTCCTGCAAATCAGATTTATGGTATCTACCTGATTGTGGTTGTATTATGAGGTAATGTTATGAATTCCCTTTGGCATCGCAACAAGTGTTGTGTAACAAATATCAACTTTTTGAAAGAATGCCGATTCTCATAATCAGAGAAGAAATAAGTATCCAACTTGCCAGAGTCATTTTCAAAACAGAACTAATCTAAGAACATCAAATAAATCCAAAGTTAATTTTTTATATGAAACAAGATACAGGTAAATTTAATGCTTGTATAGTTTTTTTGGAATAGCCCCAAGAAAGCATTCATACTATAATTATCAAAATGAAATATGCTTTACTTTGTTAAAAAATAATATCAAGTTTAAGGCTACTTACCCAGATTTTTCTTATATTCTACAGCACCATGTGAAGTTGCAGATGACCACTGAACTGGGAAAGCCTCTGTGGCAACCCCACCTCACTGAAACATGCACTTCATTGATTAACTTCTTAATACTCTTACCTCACATTCCAGATCCATCATTTTTCTTAGTTACGTCGATTCTCCGCTCTCATAAATTCTGGCAAAAAAATCTAATTTTCAAGTAATGGCTGTAGTATAAAGAGAGAGATCACAAGAACAGGTCAATCATGGCATGTAGCATATACCATCATAGGCAAGCCAGTGATGGCACAAGCATGGCTATTACAAGGCAGTGAATGGGCATGACAGATTTATCATGTTGCGAGGCCTTATGCAAACACTGTCATACAAAAAGATATAATGGACTTCAATATTGACTGTTTGGCATTAACCTGGGTCTTATCAGAGTCCATTTATCCTCTGTGTACAGTGTGTTCAAAGTCGGAATAAAATCTCTATGGAAATGGGTTGTAATTTCCTGGTTTTTTCAGACCACATTTGTGAAAAAATACACTAATGACAGTCTGGATGCAAGGTACGTTATGTGCAGGATATAAAGCACCCCAGACAAAATATCCAGGAAAAGATTTGACATTATCTTGGTTAAGGCAGAAATAGGTGTCTCATAAGATGAATAATGTGCAAGTAAACCTATCATTTAGCCAGGATTATTGAACATTGGCTCTCGCACAACTACGGAAGATTCTACACTTCCTGGCAACCAACATAATGCATAGCCACTTTCACATAATGCACATGGCTTATTTTAAACAGTCTATATTGATTTAAACAAAATTACATATTTTTAAAAGTTGGGTTTTAAAAACTTAAGCAAACAAAAACATTTCCTTTTACTTGAAGTAACTGACCATGAGATTCTGAAACAAAAATAACAAAACAAACAAAAATGTAAACAAACAAATAATGAGCTGGTTTATCTAAATAATTTTAATACAGTAATTCCTAACCATTCTTCTGTTTGTTAATAAAAGAAAAAAGCTTGTTATTTACTTGATTTGAGTCAAGTACATTATGTACACAGTTACCTACATATATCTTAATATATTCATTACATTTTGACTTTAATTCAATTTTATTAGTGAGTGACCATACCATGCTTTTAAGACAGGAGAAATAACAATTTTAAAATAAAAGGATAATTAATTTATGATGATGGCAAAATTTTCCTCAGAAAGAGTTCAGATTAGATTTTTTTTAATTAGTTAGATTTCAGTATATTTGCATATCAAACACTGTCATACTATTTTTAAATGCACTTACATGTAAATGTGAAAAAAAAACTCATGTCCTAAATACAAAATCAAAATAATACTTACTTGAAATTCATGCTTTTCTGAAACGGTGCACAGGCTCAAGTAAATATTGCCATAAATGTAGTAATATCTGTTATAAGATACTTTGCTTATTTTCGCCAAAATGGCTTTTTCTTGTTCACCAAAGTCCTGAAAAAGGGAGAGCTTAAAATCAAAGCTGCTTTCTTAGTCATCAATCTACTTCAAAATGTTTGAACTTTCCATTAAAGAAAGGTGTGAAAACCAGAACAGCGATGTAACTAAATATTACGAAGGCAGCATTAGTGATGTCTAGAGATTAAAAAAGCAGTTCAGTGAGAACTTAAGAAGGTAAGTTACCAGGGGAGAATCAATATTTTTGTGAAAAGTAATTATAGTTCAGGAAACCAGTGCTGGTGTTGATTCAGATAAGCAAGTGCTCTGTTTCTTTGTAAGAAAAAAACCCTTTTCATATGAGAACTTGATCATCATATCAAAAACTAAATGTTAGAAAAATCTTATATAGAAATATAGACAGATTATATCTAAGTTCTACAACATCTTACATATTTTTCACATCCGGTCACCTTATCAATATTAGCTGCCATAATAAATTGCATACTCCATGTGTACATGTACTGTGCTAGACCTAAAACTGGTCCATTTAAGCTACTGTGGTAAGACCCACCTATCCTATATTCAAGCAATCATTCTTTACCACCCATACTTACATTATGATAAAATTAACATTGACTATGTTTAAATTTCACCTTGAGAACTGATCTTATAAATTTTAACAACTAATTTCCAGGATTATTAAAAAATGTTCCATATTGTGTAATACAGTATCTTTACTTTGGTGCCAAAAATGACATGTAAGGTCATTTAACCCAATTACATGTCACAAGTGGAGAAAGGATATCAATAAAATTAAAAGAGAGATCCCAGCATGTTAGATGCTTGGCAAGCACAGGACACCTAGGGTAGATATATGTAATATGATTCACAGCTAGAATAATCATCTGCAGGTAGTTCTCGGTTCTTGCATGGTTCTTTTGATATCCAGAAAAAACTGCCAGATTTGAAGATGTAAGCAGTTAAAGTAATAATGACAATAAAATTTATGAAAATAAAGAGGGCAAAAAATAAGGAAATAGAAATTATATAATTAAAAATTTTATGTGCTTGATGAGGCTACAGAAAAGTTAATTCCAAAACTCGGCGAGGTGCATAGCACAAAGTTTACTGCATTAACACTCCTATTTACAGTTTCTCATATAAAGAACATAACAGAAAATGGTAATAAGTGTACTAATGCACGAAAGTGCTAGATGCTGCAATACTATTTTTTATCCATAAAACGTGGATGTGCTGCTAGCCTGAATCTCACCAAGAGGATCTCACCAAACACACTCCGGGAGATCCAAGCACAATCATCCCAAGGATATCATTCTCCCATCATCATAACTTTAATTTTTTCTCCAGTTATTTATCGTTGGTTTGGTTTTGATACAAAACTGTGTTGACTAATTAAAAAATAAATTAAAAAATGAATATTTTTAAATAAAAATATATAATCTTTCTCTCACTCTCTTGCATGGGAAAACTAAAAGCAATCGTGTTTCTTTTAACTTGTGAACATGGATGGTGAACTTATTGTTACATTAAATATAGTGGATTTAACTGGTAGAAGTCCACCTATTAAATATTGTGCTAAATAAGAAATGGCCGTTAAAAGTGTACACTATTTCTAAAACATGCTAATTTCTTTGAGACGCTTGAGCGAGCACCTGTCGCCCACACAATACAAAATCATCCCCTGCGATAATTATCTTTACATTTGTACTTGTTTCACTGAGATAACAGGACATTATAAGCTCCAAAACACTGTACTGGGATGAAAAGTATCACCTTTCTCATGCGGCAGAGGGCGCTTGCGACTCTCCAATCAAATAGGGATTCGGCATCCCACAGAGCCACATTTTAGACACAACCGCGCATTTGGTACTCGAAGCAACAACGTGAGAAGACCCAGGCACAAGCGACTGCCATGTGAATGCGCACCAACAAGTACCAGGAGAAGTGTAAACTTTCATCTCAGACATGAAAACTACAACAGAAAAAAGTTGCCGGTCGGACCATACATATTCCCATCAAGGTGAAAGTGAAAGACACCGGTCATGGATTTGTACGTTTCAGTCGTTGATTACTTTAACGGCATGGACAGTAATGTTGTGCGGATTAGCGTGGAGTATGACCATGGTATACAGACTGCAAGACAGGGTAGACAGACTGGAAACACAGTGTTCCAAGAATGAAAAAGTGGATCTGCAAAAGTATCTTGATGAGAATTTACAGAGAGAAGTTAGCCGGGTAAGAGAATGGATGAAATATACCACCGTGTTTATTTTGAACTCTGATGTGATTGCAGTGATGCACAGAGAAGTTTGAAATGTAACACGGGATGATTGAAATGCAAGTGAAAGCAGAGTGGCATGGAGTTGTGCTTTGAAATACACATGGTGTCAACATTAGATAAATATTTGAATCCTATTGAATATTTCAGCACATTTATTATAGAAATGTAAACATTAAATTAATGTGAAAGGATTGATGTTACAAGGCAAGATATGATTAATAAAAAAATCCTGAGATCTCATCAAGAATATACATTGAATTCTGTTCAATTATATTGTCTTTCCATTGCAGCATATGATGATTCATTTGGCTAAATCTCGAAAAGTAAGAGCCTCAGGTGAGGGGCAATGCTTATGCCCGCCAGGTAAGTCCTCACGTTTAGTGCACATTCTATACTCCCTTAATGTAGATTTAAGTAAGTTGAATTCTTTTTTATATGCTTTGCATGTAATTTAAACTAATAGACTATCTGTAGTTTTCAATAGTTACCACTTGACAAAAAGATAAGTGGATGATTAAAAGATAAAATGTATTTGACAGGACACCTGATCACTCATCCATCTTTTTTAATTAACTAAGTCGTGCATAAATTCTGGTTTTTAAAGTATAATCATCTTTCATGTATGTGATATAATACCATGTATTTACATTTTATGACTTGTTTAACAAAAGAATCATAAAAGTAATTATAGGTTATGTAAAAAAAAATGACAAAACAGTATAAAACTTTATAAACATTCTGATATAAACCTTCTGATGTAAATTTTGCATGTTATTCAATGTTACTGTATTTTAAATTTGTGTAGTGCTTTGTATTTTGAAGTTAAAAGGCAACATTTTGTCATACTGTTGTCACAGCATATTATATCCCCTTTTCTGCGTTAAGGGAATAATGATATTAAAGTGGGCCTAACCTGATAGGTGGTAGAGTGACATTTGAAAGAAGCTTGTACATTTTTAGGAATTCGTGCATAGCAGAGTTGATTAAGCTGCTAGTGTATCTCACCATCACTATTTCTTTTGCTTTTGAAAAAATGCTCAATATAGCGGCTGATTTTCCCCTTCATTGGGAGAGCTGACTGCACAGGATGGGGGTGGTGGCGTAGGGAGAATTACGATTTTTACAAATCTTAGCTGTCTTTATGCGATTCTATAATGTGATGCACTTTGAAGTTTTTGAAAAGTATATTTATACATTGTGCAATTAACAGTGTGTTAGAATTTGATGACGTGCTTAACATGAAACATTTCTAAATATGGTTACACGAAGTTAAGATGTGTGATTAAGATTTTGGAACATCTGCTGGACTGTAACTTGACATTAAAATGAGTCAAGATGATGGTCTTCAGTCCGTCTTCAGATTTATTTACACACCTGTTTATATGTTTACTCTAACTTAGAGATTCAGTTCTTAGATAAAAAATATCCCATGAAAAACATTCTGAGCTCCAAATCTCTAAAGATAAGCCATGTTAGTTTTGTTTTATTCTGAATTAAAATCAGACAAGGAACTGCACATGCAGACCACAGCCTAAATTCTGAGCTTATCTTTTTAAGTAGATAATGCCTTGTGCTGTAAATGAGCAAAACTGGAAAACATTACCAGTGTTTTTGAAAGACAACCTTTTTGTTATTTATTTAACATTAGAGTACCAGCAAGCTACCTTGTATCTATCCCCTCTTCACTGAGCATCAATTATTCTTCCCAAGCAAGCTTCTGTCAGAACCACGCACTAATCAAGTAGGGGGAAGGTAAATTACATTATTTCATTACCAGTCCATACGCTTATGCTTAGCTATCCAATAGCTGCAGTATTGAAGTTTTTTCCCCCCTTGGTGCTGCGTGAGTGTTTTATTATGGAAAGCAGTCTTCATTCACCAAGGTAATTTGCTTTTTGACACTACTTAAATGTACTGATTTACTCGAAAAAAAAAAAAGACACATGGGTATTAGGATATAAGAAGATTTTCTGTGGAAGAAGCTAAGTGATAGATGATAGCATCAATAATCCTGATACTATCTGTCTGGTTAACCCCACTATCATAGCTAGAAGGGATTAGAGGAAGTGTTCATAATCCCAAAACCAGCATCCTTCTCTACAAGGAAATTAAAAGCATTTGGTAAAGTAAACATGATAGATGGGATGGTTTTACACTTCTCAGATCAGTGTAGGAAGGATAGGATGTTACCCCCTAGAAACATTGAATGAATGACCTCTAATCTTAGCCTTTGTGGTTTCAATATGGTCTTTTTCCACCATGTGGTATTCGCTTTATCTCATTCATTCCCTAGGGGAAATACTATGAGCTTATTGATTTTGATTTAAAACTTTGTATGCTTTCTATTTTGAGGTGCTCGGATCTATTTTCAAAATAAAAAAATATGAGAAAAGCAGAGCAGTTGCTTCAAAGTGTCAGTTTTGTAACCTTTTCTGTAGCATATATTCATTCCTGCAAATTTGATACAATTTTTTTTACATAAAAAAACATTTTTTTCTACAGGTTTTGAAAACCCCATAGTACCCACAATGCTTTTAGACAAATGTCCTCATTCTACTCTTGGAGAATATATTTTAGGTTTAATTCCACAAATTGTTTTTGTGAGCTTATTGTAAGCTATACTGGTGGTATTATTCTGTGTGGGCTTTGGTTACCCCAACATGTAATGATAAAGTGTTAACAGCCAGAAACACATGGATGGGAACAGCCTTTCTGGAAAATGGCAGTCATAAAAATAAAACCGTCCTTATCTAGGCACTGGTTTGAAATCGCTAGGAAAGCTTCTTGCCCTTTGTAAATGGCTGATCAACAGGTTTATGTGACAGAATTATCTGTGGGTTGGATGATAATGGGTGTAAGCTTCATGGTAAAGGTTCAGAAATGGAGGGTCAGTTTACAGAACATAACTCTTACATCAGGTTAGAAAATACTGCACTGGAAGATAGAAGGCGGCGTCTGCTGGTTTTTTCTTTTCTTTTTTATTAAGAGGTGGTGTTGTGTGTTAATGTTGTGGTTTATGTTAAGTGAACTTAATCCACACTTGTTGTGCTGGCGAAAGAATAAACTCAGATGTACAGAGTGCCAACAGAGAAAGCGGCAGTCCCAGTGAGCCCGTCTGTGTACTCTGGTTAATTCTAATCCAGTATCTTTGCCTAAGCCTAATTCTGACCTGTGGTTCTTATTCCACTATTCCATGTGATCTACAGCTGAACACACAGCTCTGCTCTGCTGTGTTTCTCAAGAACGGCAGTTCTTAAAGCAACCTTATTGTCCAGACATGTGGGATTGAATGGTGTGATAGTATCAGGGCTGTTCAAAAAACGCACAGTCCATTGACTCCAACCAGATGGTGTATCTCTAAGTTTATACATTTTTCTCATGATCTCCAGCATCACAATTAGAAATGCAAAGATACATAAATATTTTTTTCACATTTCTTCAGTCATGGTGGTTTGCATCAGCAGAGAGTAAAAGGAAGAGAGCATTTAGAAACTCATGGGATTTGTTAGAATAAATAGGATATCATATTTTGACATCTTTTACACTTAAAATTCCTCAGAATACAGCCCATGTAAGCTATAGATTTATCATGTATGTGACATTTGCTGTAAAAGCAAGCAGAAACATGGTCCTTTTCAGACCAGCAACTTTTCTGATCAATTAAGTTTTTGTTTAGCACTTAAGAGCTTTTAAATAGTTTTGACAAAAAAGGAATACTTGAATACTGCTTGTGACTAATTTGGGATATTTATATCATCTATTTATTAAACTTTATTGTGTCATGGTAAATTTAAAATGTATTAGTAAATTGAGCAACTTCAAGAAACTTTGAATTTTAGAAAACTATCAAAAAGTAAAAGCACTTTGCAAAGTGATGGGAAAAAATTGTGGTCTGTAAATGGAATCATTTCTCAGTCCATTGTGGTCACAGTGAATATGATAAGTGTTGAAGTATAGCTACTTTGTGGTATAAAGTTAGTTTTAAATAGTGGTTTTGATAATCTTTCTTGGTGGGTGAGTTAGGGATAGGACACATCTTATCTTCACCTTCTAATTGAATCTTCCAAATGGGAGTTGAAGGCTTCATGTGATTTCTATGTATCCGTCAGGAGACTGAAAAAAAAATTCCTTTATACCCCATTCACACTACAGTTGCAAAAATGCGCATTTCTATAATCCGAATTTTTCGTTAGGAATCCGATTCGGTATTGCGTTCACACACGCTAAGCGAATCCGAATCCCACGTTGAAAATTTCAGGTTTAACTTCCTGTTTTGAACACTCGCGCATGCGCCGCACAGAAAATCTTAAAATACCAACAACAATTTGTGACGACAAATGCAACTCTAAAGACATTCCAGCATTCTTGAGAAGTATAAGATGGCAAAATAAGTTTGTTTCCTCATGTTGTAGTGAGTGGCGACCTCCAAATACGTTTGGTGCAATCGCTAAAGTAATAAACAAGCGTTCATAGATACCCGCACTTATCTGCACGCATGTGCAGTTAGATCTGTACAGGTGTCGATTCCGGTAAGTTATCCGGATCGCGCTTAGAAATCCACCTCGCTTGCAGGATTTTGAAAATGCGCATTACAAAAATCCTCTTGCGTTCACACTACTGCATTTATTCGAATTGTGACCTAATTCGCAATTTATCCNAGTTGAAGGCTTCATGTGATTTCTATGTATCCGTCAGGAGACTGAAAAAAAAAAAAAAAATTCCGTTAGTCTCTGTAGTGTGGGATCCACAGTAGATGGTGCACGTAAATCAAGGAAATGGCAATTCCAGGGAAAGATCTGGGCTTAACTTGTAAATACTCTAGGCTGAGTGTGCTCCAAGCATAAATTGCAATTAAAGATAGATGTTCTGGCTTGCTTTATTTCACCATAAAATTCACCTTCAGAATACACACACTTCTCGGTGAAATGAATCATTGAACTGCTTGCAGACATGGTGGCCAGAAAAAACACAGCCATATTTTTGGATAATTTGTTACTGTCCAAACCTCACAGTCATTAGAGTGTAGCAGAGAGAATCTTAATAAGTTGCCACATCAATTTAGCAATTTTTTAGAGTAACAGATGTGATGCCTCACTGTAGTAAATTTATGTAGGAATATTGGTTCTGTAGCATGGTATTTTAGTAACCCCCTTGTAGCCATTGTTCACACACCAATTAATAATCTGTTCTGTTCGTTAATATTGATTACCGAGTGAGATGTTGGAGGTTTTTTCCCAGAAAAGTGCACTGTTTATATTTGGTGAAAAGGTGTGAAAGCTGCAGGCCCTTGGAGCCCGGTTTACTTTCAGGTGGGTGCACTCTGTACTTAGCAGTTGAACAGGGCTAGGTGAACAGTTGGAGAACAGGTGTGAAAGGATTCAGATCTCTGTTAACAAGATGGGAAAACACCTTTGTTACATCAGGAAGCAGGATTTATAGCTATGGATCTGCTCCATTTGCTGAAGTTTTACCTACTAGCATATACCATAAATGCTGGAAAATATGTTTCAGAAAGTCTTTTTCTAATATCATGAAACCCTTTTTTGAGCAACCCCACATGAAGTAATGCTGGATCTAATTAAATTCATTTCATCCACATTCACAGATGAATTTGCGCATTCCTTTTATTAACTTTTCCATTTGTATTAGCTTTGTGGTTTTGAGGTATGAAGAGGATTCACACCAGCAGGGCCCTCTTAATCTTCCCTTAATGAAGTTGACTGAGTCCAAGATATCTCAGCCGTGAAACTTGCGAACATATCTGATAGCAGGGTGAAGAGCAGACAAATGAATTGGGTAAATTGGGTCCTCAAGCTGAGAGAATTTAGTTGGGAGTGACCAGTTTGATGATTTCATAGTCTTTTTGTACCATGTGTCTGATTATGAAAGACTCCGCAACTGCCACTAAGGCAGAAGAAAGCACCCCTACCCTTCCTTTTCAGGGCAGTGCATTGGACTATGGTGATGAGCATCTTTAGTATATTCTTGTGGGATCGGTAGGGTTCAGCGCTCCCACATGGGGGATAAAGAGCCCAAATTGGTCTCTACAGTATATGTGCATTTGTGTAGAAAAAGTCAAGAAGATTGACTTGGCATGGGAAAACTAAGGTTGTCAACAGCCTGACCCCATCCTCAATGTAAAAATGATGAGATTTTCAGAAAAATAATTTCTTCATTCTCATCCAGGTGCAGAAATAGGAAGAAATTTGAAAAAATAAGAAAAAAAACATTAATTTTGGACATTGAATTCATTCTTTTCCATCCTGGAAGGCATACTAGCTGAAAATATCTACTATTGCAGTTGTTTGTGTATATGGTTTTTTCACGTACAGTATATATCATAAAAGAAGTATCTGATCAGTGTTCAATTCCATCCCTATTCTATTCTATCTCTGATTTGATAGAGGCAAATTGGCCTGCCACATTAGAAAGGTCACTTTAATTTCCTTTAATTACCAGATTAAATGCCTAACTCAAAGGCTCTTGCAATAAAATACCTGTGATTTACAAAATGTGGAAAGGCATAATAAAAAGAAGGGATTTTTTTATTGAGAATTGCACTGTATACCTTACAAGGAAAGGAAACATTACTTTGATGCATACCAAGAAGGTTCACTATGACTGTATCCAGCATAATGTTTGTAGTTGATTTTGGGGTTTATGGATGTATTCAGTGGTAGTAACCCATCAACATGGTTTAATAAATTATATTTTATTTATTATGGATTATAGGGATGTATTTTGTTTTTTGGGAACCACCTTTTCTTGGAATTTGAGTCCTTTTTATTTCTTTAGTAATTTGATTTTAATGATTACTGAAATCCCCCAGAAAATTCTTAGAATTTTTCCCCAGGTCAAGATGTACTTCTTGATTTATTCACATGATACAGTAAGCATTATCCGGAGCTGGCCAGATCCATGTTTATTATGGAAATGGATCAGTAAGAAAACTTGCCACCCTGAAGCGATGGGGGTTTACCTGAGAATCTATTAATTGAAGAGATTAAGTAGAGCGAGATTTAATTACACGACCAGGTAGAATCAGCTGGAACCGGGGATAAATGGACCATTAAATGAAGTAACACATTCTTGGTGTTATGTATTATTCAGTGGATACTGTACTATGCTAGGAAAGTGGGAAGTTACTTGTAGGTTGTTCTAACGTACGTGATCCTGTTCTTGCAACCATATCTGTGTACGTGACTGTAGCTTAGGCAAATAAGTGTATAAGGGTCATTTCAAATATTTTTTCCTTCCATGAAACTTTTAGCTTGGTATACTCCTGCCAATTTTGACCAAGAAAATAGAATTGAATACTATTTTTTTGTAAGTCTGAAAAGATAAAAAAAAGATTTATCATGGAAAAGCGATGCCACCTGATAAAGTATGAAATATAAAGCTAATTCTGAAATAATTCACTTTGGAGTCCCTTTTAAGAGTGTATAACATTCAGTTGAACGGTCCATATATATATATATATATATATATATATATATATATATATATATATATATATATATATATATATATAGTTAAAACCAGCTGATGAAGTTGTGCTTAGTCAGCAACAGAACATATTCTTCAGAACCATCCCGTCTTGTTACTGCTGTCATCTTGAATAAAACGGTCTACCTTGCATTCTTATGATGTGGTTTCTGTGACAATTATGATTTGAAGTGATCTATGACAAAGAAATATGTACCCATGCTACTTCGTACATTATAAGAACATTGTGTCTGTTGCTGTAGCAAATTATCAAATGTTCTAGCTCTGTTCACCAGGTGAGAAAGCTGTCAAAAGAGGAATTTCAAATCAAACTGAAGTTTTATGGAAAGCAAACCAAGAAAAAAAACATATAAATGTAGAAATAACAGTGTCATTTCAAAGATAATTCTTTGGTCTATTAAAGTGATAATAACTCTTCGTTTTGGCCAAAAAATGAATTTTCCTGGAGTAAACAACAATTTCCCCATACTTACCAATGGTTAATGAATCCATTTTTACATTCAAAGTTAGTCTCTGGTTTTTTTCTAAAAAGTTTGGTTTTTTGTTAAAATCTCTTAAGAGATTTTAACAGAGTATTGCCATCAATGGAGGTCACGTGGTCTAAAGACAAGCTCAGATACCAGAATAATAGCTGTAACTGCCGTTTTTTGTGGTAAAACAGAATATATTTTATTTCTATGAGTTATTCACAATGTTTTTATTGGGAAATATAAATCTCATATGAAGAGTTATTATCCCTTTAAGTATATATATATATATATATATATATATATATATATATATATATATATATATATATATATATATATATATATATATACCTAAAATAAAAACTAACTGAAAGCAAAAACTTGAATTAGAAAATAAAAGGGAAGGTTGACTGCATTACCCCATGAGCCATGTAGTATTTTTTTGCTTACTATGTTTATTACGTTGCTGAAATTAAATTTCACAGGACCTGGTCATTTGAAATTCAATAAGTTACTTGTGTAAACCCCAATTTAGATAATTTTTTTTTACTGGCAACACTTGCCCTCTCAGCCCCTTTGTGGTAAGGAAAACTGACCATCATTAGGAAATACAAAAGATCTCCCATGGATAAACATGTTTTGTTAGTCTTTCAAGTGTTTTTCTAACCATTGAAGCAACTTCAGAAGGAATGTAAGAGGATGGTTTATGCTGATTATACCAGGGAAATGGGGAGAGTTTAAAAAGGGATATCCTCTCAGTTTTTAACTGGTTTTTAAAAATAATATTTGTGAGAAAAATATTAATTTAATGTAAGGTCATTATGTTTCTTATTCGTAAGTTTTACCCAGAAAAATGTATTTTTAAAACGCCATATTTGTTGATCTCTGTGCCTGTACTTTTTTATTGCTGCAAACTTTTTATAGCCAGGATAAGAGTAATGAAGAGACTAATTTGACTGGAAGTGTGGAAAAGGTTGCAGCAGGGCCAAAAATCACACATAAAAAGTCTTAGTTTTTATTTCCAATGGTTTAGAAGAGTGGCCATGGGAGAAATATAGTAGTCAGGTCAAATTACCAACTTCATCAAGTTCCATTTGTGTAGATCTTTATCCAGAATCTCAGTTATTGTGCTTTACTGAACTAATGAAATTATGGCCCCAAATGGGTTCCCGCCATAATTCTATAAAGCATAACAAGCATAGACATTGCAATTGTCATTTGCATTAACGTAATTGATTTTAAAACACTGATACAGTGGTTAACTTATCATATAATATGTATATATCCTTCATAGGGAGTGTATTTGATATAATTTACATTGAAAGTTGGCTGGAGACTTGAAGTTGAAGGATGTTCAGCATTCCCCAACATTAGGAGAAATTGTCTTACCACATGTTTAATAAAGTAACGAGATGTTGGAAATAAAGTAGTTTCAGAATAGTTTGCAGTATGATATGCCTTTCAACTTGATCTTTGATTTAGGTTTAAAGTCCTTATAGTAATGCTTTTTAACACAATACCATGAAACATTTAGTGCAAAAGCAGATTTAATTTTGTGGAAATTTCAGTTGCCTTAGTACATATAAATAAGATCTTTTATTTCAGCAAAAGTGATTGATATGTATTGATTTGGAGAAGATCACAGAAAAGAATGTGTTAATTAACATCACAGCTTTACAGCTTAAAATTCCTATGTTCAAAACTTTTAAATTGAATTATCTTTCAGGAGAAAAAGGAGAAAAGGGCAGGATAGGCTATCCAGGTCAGAAAGGAGAGAAAGGTCCAGAGGTATGTTGATTTCATGCCAAACTTAATAAATAAATAAATAAATAAAAGATATATTTGTTTATTTATATAAAATCTTTGAGACCTGTAAAGGTAAAAGGTCAGTGAAAGTCCCTTGTAAAATGCTTTGAAGGTAAACAAATTTATTTTCTTACAGATGAACCCAGTAATATGCTCCAAGTTCTTTTGTCATCTTTACTCAGTATTGTTTTTATAGTATTGTTATTATTATCCTTTTTGAAATCATAGAGTTACTTTTTCTCATTGCTGTAGGTTAAAAGACAATCTGTTGCTTTCATGATATTTTGTTCAAAGATGTAATCTCTTTTCATATAAGGTCTGTGCATGGATCCTCAAACCCTAACCTTATTTCTGTCCCTCCCCCTCAGTTTTATCTCCCATTCCCTGTACCCAGTAACTTTGTTCATGACAGCATCTTTACATTGGGCAGATCCTTTTTTATGTTTAATTTGTTTGCATCAGCCCCCACTGGCAACTGGAAGTTTTTTACAGGAAGAACAGAAAATCCCAACAACTTGTTTCCAATTCCCTGTCAGACTACAAGTACCTTACATACAAATATTTACCTTCTGTTGCTAAAGAACTTTCAAATTACTGTCAAAACACTACATAAACTTGAGCTTAATTTCAACCAAAACACCTAAAAGCAACCATTTATAACCAGAATGTGCCTGACAGTTACAATTACTTTACTTTGAGTTTGACCTTGGGATCAGAAGTGTATGAGGACCTTACAAAGTATGAAATAACAGTCTTTTGAAATAAAGTCACTTTGGAGACCCTTTTAAAGTGTGTAACATTGTGTGCATGATTGTAATCGAGTGCTGCACTTTGTTGTGTTTTCCAGGGCAAGAAAGGAGACACCGGACTCAGTGGCTTCCCGGTACCTGACACACTTTTATGTCTTTTTTTGTTGCTTCTCTGCTGATCTGATTTGCTGTGCTTTTGCTGATGTTGTGGGGTCAGGGCAGGGGTTATAACTGTGGATCTGTTTTAATTTAAAACTTTTTCTGAACACTACTATGTTTCATTGCTGTGCAAGCAATTTGAAAAGGGGGTTTCTTTTTCTGAAAAGTGGAGCCCCCTTTAATTTTCAACTTTAGAAATGTCACAGAAGTTACGTATCTGGATTTTTTCCAGACACAGGGACAGTTCTGTTGACACAGGCATGAAAAAATTGAAATGTTTATCTTAAATAACAGTGATTGCAGTTATGTGTCAGGCCCAACCCCACAAAATCATACTGTCTTTGTGGTCAGTCGTAGTCCATTTCATCTAGTTACTGACAATCATAGCTTGTTTTGGTATTCGCATTGTACCTCCTCAAAAGAGCTTCCATAGAAGAAGCCACATTTATGCAAATGATCCTGATTTATTAAATAAACTGTGCTCATTTATAATTTGCATAGGTGATTCCACTGGGATCAACATAATGAAATGTCATTACTTATGCAAATGCAACTTTATATTAGTGAACTGAAGTATGTAACACTGCTAGTGTGTGTGGGCTGCTGGCAATCCACAAATGACAGCTTTGGCTTCCTTAGCAACGCAGCAGCTGTGGGGAGACATCAGGTTCTTCTCTTCTTCTGTTCCTTGCACTCTTTCCTTTTCTTTAATTTCATACTGGACTCATAATAACATGTTAAATTTTTGCCAATGACAAAAAAAGATTAGATTTTGACTAAAAGTATAATGTGAAATTTAACAATTTTGTTTTTGCTTGCTTAATTTGTTGTAACAAAGCTCTCGGCTAATCTTTCTAAACTAATCTTTAGATCATTGGCTAAGATGAAGTGCTATGGTGGGCCCAGGTATTATAACCTATTAGTTTGATGTCAACTGATTTCTTACCTACTCCCCCAACATACAGGTCTCCCAGTGCTTCCTCTGTGAACAACAGAGAAGGTCTTTACGTTTTATATCAGTTACTCATTCTTTTCTTTTGTGGTTGCTACCTGTTCATATTTTAGGGACAAGTGGGTCTTCCAGGCTGGCCAGGCCCAATGGTGAGTCAAAATTATATTATTTATTTATTTATTTATATATTTATAAGTTTATTATTTGTTTCATTACTGTTATATTGGCTGATCTAACAAATGTACTGTTTATAAAGGAATAATGATAATGGTGATAATAATAATATGAAGAAGAAGAAGGAGAATTATTTTATGACCCCATTTCCATAGATGCCATTGGTCTACGTAGATCGATCATCCAACTCTGCAGGAAATCTTGTAATTGCAATCAGCTTAACTGAAAGATACCTTTTGTTTTCAATGTACTTGAATAATCACTAGCTTCTCGATATTCTACTTAACACCAGGGAGAAGTGTTTTAATCTGTTAAGATGATTGCAATCTGCGAGAATCCTCGCAGAGTTGGGTCAATCCACGTAGACCAATGTTATCTGTGGAAATGTAGCCCATAATGCAACTTTTCCATTTTTTTTTCAATAGTTAACATCCAATACAAATAAAAATTTGAAAACTGTAAGAAATTAAACAAAAAGAATAACAGAAAAGGAGGAATCAAAAAAAAAACTTTTGATGTATGAACTTTATTTAAGAAGATAATGAGAAAAAAAAGACGGAAATATCCAAAGGAGACATAAGGGGGGGGGGGAGTACTCTTTGTTTAAAAAAGGAGCTTTATTTAAAAAAACGTGGTTGCAAAGGTTGATGGGATTTATCTAAATGTTTCTGCGTGTTTTCAACTTATAAAAAAGTGTTGAGGTAATAGGCATAATTTGTTATCAGCACAGAAGTCGGGCTCCTTCCATGATGTTCACCTCATAGGTGAACTGGGAGAGAAAAGGGATGTATTGAAATACAAGACTTCAGAGAAGCCTTTATGCTTACCTTTTCCACCTGTTGATTACTGTCAACCCAATCATGGTGTTCCTTTTTAACCAGAATGACTTTAGCCCATCATATCCTTTAACAGTCCATAAACTTCCTGTAATTTTGATTGTAACATGTCAGCTTAGCTGTTGGTCTGTTAAGAGATGATATTGGAGAAAAAGTCTTGAAAATAATTGATGCTTTGAAGTATCCAGTTTTTTTTTTACAATAAAGATACCAATTTTATCACCCTTTCTTTATGTTCCCAACCATGAGTAAAATTGTTAAATTGTGGCTATTGTGAAAAGTTTGTTAAGGTAGATGAGAAAAATGAGAAGGAATTAACTGTCAGCAAGTTGAGGTGCGGTCTCACCAAGTACCATAATGACAAAGCATGCCTCTGTGTCACCCGGGGTAAATAGCAGTCTACAGTTTGGTAGTGTTTAGGCACAGAAATGCAGACTGGAACCTATCCGTTCTCAAATTCCTTCAAGTGTCAGGATAATGAAACCTTAAAAAGTACAGAGGCTAATGGGAATGGACAATTGCATTCCATAATGTCTTTGCAGAGTTAACTTTGTTTCATTCTTACTACCCTGGATCTCTGTCCATATGTTCTATACACAAATTCTTAAACACCATGTATGTATATATATTGTAGCTGTCCACTTATTTGTCCTTGTCATCTTTATTTCTGAACCACTTTGTGTTTTCAACCCTGTTTAACAGACTTCATATCTTGTATGTCTTTTTAGCAGTATATTTCATGCCATCAGTGTCTCAAATTTCAAAATTTAAAAAATCTATAGCAAATCAAAAGGATTTATTCTCAGTTCCGAGGCCCCAGGAGTGAAAGCAGATCAAATTTTCGAATGTGCTCAATGGATTTTATGATACTTTTGGTATAATTATCTACCTTGGAATGTGTTAATTTCATCAGTGCAAAACATGGCTGTGTCGATGTCATCTTTATTATTAGTGGATCTATTCCTCCATCTATTAGACCCCATTTCCAGAGATTAGATCGATCTACTTTAGATCGACCTAACTCCCTGGGGGTTCATGTTAAATAGCTGTCAGCCGAGCGGACACGAAAGTTAATTACCCCCTTACAGCTTGTAGTAGACGGGACGGACATTTAAGCCGGATTATCTGACAGTAATCGAGTGAGACTCCCCGCGGGGATAGATCGATCTAAAAGCTCTGGGAATACAGCCTTAGTGATAATCTGACAGAAAAATTAAAAAAAAACTCGCTATACCTTGTCTTGTTTAGAAGTATGTGATGTCATTACGGTCACTGAACAATTGAGATTTTGCAGGGATTGAAGTATTTTGGTAAAACAAAAGCAGTTTTCTTCCTGGGGGAGGAAGTAGTTTATAAACAATTGAAGCCCAAATAATCAAGCTAGAAGTTCTGTAACTATTGCACACATGTCTGGTAACACTTATCAAACACAGAAAAACCAGCAAGCAACAAGTGCCACCTTTCAAGTGCACTTCTTTTTTTCTCAAAAGACCAAATATTAAAAAACATAGTTGACCTGTAAATCATGTAGCCCTGTTTTGTGCTAGAAATGTGAATTTGATTAATTATATAAACAGTTGAAATTGTACTTTAGTGTAAGTTTGTGTGATGACTTTCTCCATACATCTTAGCTATCTGTATACCAAACTGTATGACTGGATGTTTCCTGTTTAAATTTCAGGGTCCAAGGGGATTCAAGGGGGACAAGGGCGAAATGGTAAGAATTTATTACTTCTTATTGATTTACGTAATTGCCAAGTTTGCATTACTCAAGATGCTTAGATCTTATGTCTTATTAGCAATAGATTATGGTAATTGCTCAATCTTTTCAATGGGGGGAGAATTTTACAGATGCTGTATTTTTAAGCCATAATTTTAAAAAATTAGAATATTCCTATTAAGTGATAGCAACAAAATGTAAAAGTAGGTTTTTGTGATTATAAAATTATGTTTCTGTAAGTTTGAAAATTTTTGCCCATTGAAAAGATCGAGTAATTATAATGACACTTTTTAAACAATGGGAGTCTGTCCTAAATTATGCTTAGAATATTCATGAATAAGTTGGCAACTCTGGATTTAAATCAGTTATTTTACAAAATTGATTTCATAAAAGAAATTATCCCTTATTCAGACAAAATAAAATGATTTACAGGTATTTAGTTTCCCACTCAGCTAGGCACTAAGCACCCATGTCAGGTATGCGGATCAGATCGGAAAAATGCTAAGAAATAAGGAAATGTTTGATGTAATGATTTTCCCATTCCTCCATGTTCTTTCAGTAGAAGGTGAACATTTTTAGGGGATCAAAGTTCCTATCTTGATAATATCTGTGCATTTATCAGGTAATGCCTCGCATACAGCCAGGTTACACTGTGTTATTCCGAGCAGCAAGATCTTTTGCAACACAAATGTTGCATCTTATTTATCTTGTCAGAATATATGCTGTGAAAATGATTAAAAGAAAAACTATATAGCTTATACATATTTAACCCATGGTCATGCTTTGGGATTTTGGTTATAAGCTTTTTTTTTCATTGATTGCTGAATCTTTAGTATGATTGCAATATAAGACACAGGTCTGTTCTTTTATAATTTGACAAGAAAAGAATAGATGAAAGTAAAATCTTGCTTTTTTTTCATTTGAAGACCCATGCCAAATTTCAGTTAGCACTAATTGCATAGTAACACATACTGCATAGTAATAAAATTATTGGACAGTAAGAAAACAGATGATCACCACCCCAACAAGTGTTGTAAATAGAAAAAAAAACTTTGAAGGAATTTCTGTAAGCAACAAGACAATATCATGAAAGATCCATGAACATTACTATAATGAAATTTGTTTTATTATAATATTGATGAAGAGAAACTCTTCTAGCTGCCCAACATATCAGGGGCCCCATACCAGCTCTTGTCACTACTTAATTCTAGTTATAAAAACTCCTGTTGGTACTGCTGTTAAAGATACTACAGCAAGTTAGTTGGAAAGACTCCAATCAATGTTGCTGTGCAAGACATACCAAGTGTTGTTAAAAAAAAAAGTTAAGTCTGCTGTTTGAAATACTGCAGGTTTAGTTGTAAAACCCCAGTTAAGGCTGCTGAGCTACAGTGGCAAGAGAATCATAAAGCTGTCATCATCCAAACATTTGTCTATAGCAATCCGCCTGAACTAGAGTTAATGATGGATAAAGCTGTCTCATTCTGGCAGACGGCATACCAAGAATCTGATAAGATGCTCTGATGGGGTTGTCAGGAACAATTGAAGGGAGTCCAGGCTACAGTCTGGCTACAGGTCAATGAGTGCACTGCTGATCGCTACCCACTGTCTGTATAATGAAGAGACAACATATCAATTTACAAAGCTAGAAAATATATGGTAAACTATCAGTACAAAAAATAAAGGGGGGGGGGCTGATACTCTTCATGCTCTTTTGGTCCCATAGTAAAGTAAGCAGGAGCCAAAGGAAAAAGCTAACATAGTAATTGAATCGTAACATGTTTTGCTCTGCATTCCAAAACCCTGCATCCTGCCTTGTTGGATTCAATTTGTTTCAGCAGGGTTTAAGTAAACTTGGAGATTGAGGTCCATCTTACACAAGATACTTGCAGTAATACAATGCCCTGACCATAGCTGTTATTCTATGTGATGTATATTAAAAACATGCATGTGTAGCACTGGATATGTTAGTTAATAACTGTTTCCTGTCGTTACTTGTATCATGTATTGGATTCAGTCTTAGCACATTTAGGTAGTAGTATGAAACGGTTTTAGTTTAAGGTAGAGAGTATAGCACTACATAAAAGAATAGACTTTTTACTTTTACTTATTACGTAAAAAGAAAGGAAAAAAAAAACATGCTTTGTATAGTGAATGATGCCGTTGGCTTTAAACAAAATGTTGACTGAGAGCATTTGTATGTTTTTGTAGCAATTTTTGGATGGGGGTAGATATAAACTTTGGCATGTTTCCTGTGATGGGTGCTATATATCCACCACCTTTTATGATTATTCAACATTTATAATTTGCTGATTTAAATGTTGATTAATTTCAGCAGTTTTTATCTTTCAGGCTTGACTTCAGATGTAACCCCATACTCCCCATCATATAATCTTAAAACTGTGAAAAATTTTCTGGAATTCTAATCAGTGAATGATAAAATACTCGTACTGAATGTGTTTAGCTATTTTATAGTGAAAGAGATTCTCAGACAGAATAATAAGGATGTGTTTCCTTTAACTTATCTGTCAAGAAATCATTGACACCTTATGAAGATGATCCTTCTTGAACTTCCTTGCTGATAACTTTCTTGTGAGTCTTATGAACACCCAGATTTTGCTGAAGAAACATTTGAAAATTGTGTCTACTTCGAAGGTTACTGAAGATGATACAAAGAGCACATTTCCTTTAGAGAGATTTTGAGTGTGTGTTGCTCTTGTAATGCTAAATAGAGGGCAGTTTATCTTGCTCTTGCTTCACATATGAGAATTACTATTTCTACTTTGCTCATGGTAACCTTTTGCTCCTCCTCTTTTGACTTTCGTCCTCTTCAATGATTTTATTGAACTTTATCACAGCCAAGCAAATACCTATGATGTGATTACAAGTAACAGATCAGAAGGTGCCTCTGGCATAGATGAGGTTTTAGGGAGTTGATTGGCAAATCTTTCTGACAATTATTGGCATCACTGTCTATCCTGGGTCTCAGGTCTGTAACCAGCAATTTTAAAGGGATGGTTCTTTGCTAAAAAAAATACAGCTTTTTGGTCCTTTATTTGGCTCAACTTGGGAAATGGTATAGCACCTGGTTCAAGCTTTATTCAGAGTTTATCTTTTGCAGCCAAAAGGGCCATGTTTTTCATTCCCCCTTCCCTACAGGGGCTGGTTGCACTAAAAACATGAAGCAAAAGCTGGTCTGAACTGAAAGGCACAAAATGGTAGTCCTTTTTTGGCTTTGTCTCCAATGAAAGCAATCACCAATGTCAAGACAATTATGATTTAGTCTGTGACCTTATTTTAGACCAGAAAAAAAGGAAACTTAAGTAAAATAGGTTTTTGGCTAAGATCCTCAGCTAGATTTGTGAATTAAGATTCTTTGTCAAACAAGACTCTAACTGATGAACCGAGTTAGTTCAGTTCCTTATCTACAGTAGTTTTAGTGTGTGTATTGCTTTGGTTTTTGCATTGCAGTTTATTGAGTTATTGGGAATAGGCATAGTTGTCAGAGCACTTACTCCCTCTTCTTTGAAAGTGCAGAAAGGTGTTCTATGAAAAGGGAGGTGAGAGAGAATATTTAGTAAAATATCAGACTTTCACCTTGTTTCAAACTCTGTTAAAATATTCCAGCACTTTTTCTACAAGAACTTAACACTGTTATCTTTTGTTGATAGGTAACCAACATTAACTAAACAGACTTTGGCAACTTCTACAAGCTATCTCTTCAATCTTTTTTACAAGGAAATTGATGAAATTTAATTTGCTATGTTGCTTACAGATTGACATTTTCATAAAGCAATTGATTATTGTTTGTGTCCAGGGCGGGTCATGATCCATGGGGGGGGGGGGGGTTTGAGGGGAGTGTTAGTTAGAGATCTCTTCACATTCATGGGAAAAGCATTTCAATGAAACTGGTATATGATCCAATTATGACAAAGAATTATTCTAGAATATCCGATGATATTCAATCTCCCATGGTCAACAGTCCATTATGTTTATTTTCACACAGTATAAGCTATGCAGTTTTGATTACGGATATATTTTTTTGTTTTTCTTTTTTTGCTCACAGCAGTGTTTTTGGACTTTATTTATAACAATTAGGACAGTGCATTGTGCAGAACTTTGAATTGAGGTAGACAGCAGAGCTTTTCACAAATTGGCCTACAATGCAATGAAAGAACACAATGGAATTGTAACAATTGTAATTTCAATAGATCGGTTACATGTGTTGCTGGCAGAGGTAATGCACTCGAATGAATCACAGTTCAAGAAGAGACTGGAGGACCAAAAAGTAATCCACTGTTATTCATACTTATATAGGATTTCAAAATAAAAGAAAGAAAAAAGTTAGTTCATCATCAGCTTGGCTGTGTAGTTTTGTTTTGGTAGGCAGTTTTTCAGCATACATCAAAGGTTTTGGCAAATGAAACAATTTTTTACTGATTTAGAAGGTGGCGAAAGTCTCAGGATGCATGCCATTCAACAGCAGATGTAGCGCCAACTCCCTGACAGTTTTGAGTAACAATACCTAATGAACAACATGTGCGGCTTCCGAACACTTCATGCAAGTATTTCTGTCAAAGGCCTGCTTTCATGTCTGTTTGTTAGCTCCAGTGACCACTATCAAGAAGTGATTTTCCCTAACAGTCTTATTCTGGATTGTGCTATAAATTCAGCAGAGAAGTTTTTCCAAAGTGTTTGAGATTAAGGCCGTAAAATCCATTTTTTTCAATTACACATTTTGTTTTGCATAACATTTATTCAAGAAGTACCTAATAGCCTGTTGCAGACCATAATATTGTTTTTTAACCTCTCTAAATTTATGAAATCTCATCCTAGTTACAATGTATTTGGGTGGCATTGGGTGATTTGTTGAAGGAAGAAGATGATATTTTAAAAAGTTGCAAATATTATTATTATTATTATAAAGCATGATAAAAAATACTGTGAAAACAGTCAGGAAGACTGTCCATATGTGAGGATGTCTTCTTCATTGGGTCTTT